TCCCAGTTCTGGTCTCAGTCTCAGTCTCAGTTCTGATCCTGTTATCGGTGTCAATCCTGGTCTGAGTTCTGGTCTGATCCCGGTCTCAGTCTTGGTCCTGTTCTCAGTCTCATGCCTGGTCTCAGTTCTGGTCTGATCCTGGTCTCAGTCCCGGTCTCAGTCCCAGTCCTGATCTAAGTCCTGGTCTCAGTCCCGGTGTGGTCCGGTCTCAGTCCCAGTCTCAGTTCTGGTCCTGTTCCTAGTCTCAATCCTGGTCTCAGTCCCAGTTTCAGTCCCGATTCTGATCTCAGTCCTGGTCTGGTCCCGGACCTGGTTCAGTCCTGTTTCAGTCCGGCATCGCAGCTGAAGTCACGGAAACTGGAAACAGCCGTTATCCATTTTTTCCATTCTTCATTTAAACACAAAATCAAAAACTGAAAAAATGAATCATTATCTGTTTTTTTATTTTGGTTTTAGAGACAAATAATGAAGAAAACAGTTGTTTTATCATTTTCTTATTTTTGGTTTTATTTTGAAAAAGGATTGAACGAATGATACACATATTTTTTACCTTTAGTTCAGTAGAGATCAGCAATTCAAAAGCTGAAATTATCCAAATGATTCTAGTGAAGATGTATGGAGTTTAAAAACACAATGGAGCACTTCCTGTATTACCACATGACATCACAAGGTGGAACACGGTATTTTCTGTTTGAGAGAAGAACTCAGCTTAAATACGCAGGGTTTGTGTGTTAAACGTGTGAATGAAACAAAACACAACTCCAGGAAACAACATTTTAACACAGATCAGAAAATAACCTAATACGGGCCCTTTAAGTGATCAATATTTCTATCAAAAACGTAGTCAATTCCTGAATTAGACGCTTGTAAAATCTGGAAACGAGTAAATCTCATATATAGACAAGTTCAGCAGCGTCGAGATCAATCGAACAACGGAAACTTTTCTTTCAACAAAATAACCCCCCAGGAAGTGACAGTAGAAACCACAGACTTACTTCCTCAAAGATGCTCTTTATTCACACGGTTTAGACTGATGAGACATTAGGGCTGTTGCTATATCCATGTACTGTTAAAAATGAAATTATTATATCTTTTGAATGAGAAAAAGTGCTCTAAACCACTTTTTTTCTGGGGACCCATATTTTAAAAGTCGCAAACCTTCACAACTCAAGTCAACAGACATTATTCGTAAATCACAAAATAAAGGTGGATTAAACCATTACTAGTTAATAAATGTACCATATTTTTCAGACTATAAGTTGCACTTTATTTCATGGTCTGGATGTTTCCTGCACTTATACTCTGGTGCGACTTATATATTAAAGTTTTCACACTGAAGCTTCGAGTGGCTCTAGTCTTGTGTGTCAGTATCTGCTGCTCCTGTTCCTCCTGTACCAGTGCAGTTGTCGACTGGACAAAAGTTAGTTTGGTTGAAGACGTTTCGCAGCTCATCCAAGCTGCTTCTTCAGAACTGAAGAAGAAGAACTAACTTTTGTCCAGTTGACAAACTGAATTTTCTCCTCACCATCAATCAATCAATCAAACTTTATTTGTATAGCACTTTTCATACATTTGAAATGTAGCACAAAGTGCTTCACATGCAACAGAAAAATTACAATACAATAATTAAAATCAAGAGCAACCCCCCCCCCCCCCCCCCCCCATCCCATTGTTTTCAACCATATATACAACAATTTAAACAAAAACATAAAAACAAAAACATAAAACTCCTAAAGGTTATCATAAAAATCAAAATGGAGAGCTAAAATCAAATGGAGACAAAGTAAAACAGTAATGATAATTTAATTTTGAATAAATAAATATATAATAATAATAATAATAATAATAATTTAAGTTAAAACAGATAAAAGTTTCAATTAAAAGCTAAATTAAAAAGATACGTTTTGAGTTTACTTTTAAAAATATGAACACTCACAGCGGACCTCAGATCCTCAGGTCGACACCATGGATTCTACCTGGACGACTGAGGGATTCTTCACACTCCTTTACCACTGTCACTTGGCTCTACTGTGCATGCTGCTGTCCTGCTGCAAGTAGCAAAATATGCAGTCGAAAATGGTAATTGAGCAGCAGAAAGAAAGTTTGGAGTGAGCGAGAAACTTGTGAGGGACTGGGGGAAAGCGGGGATGGAAAACACAGCTTCACGGCAACCGGAAGAGTGCACCATGCAACTTTCCTGAAGTCACTGGATGGACTGACAAAGTCTGGACTTCAGTGACTGTGAAAACCATCCTGTCAAGATTCAGAAAGTCCAGAATAATTCTAACTGGAACTGATGCTGAGTCTGACGACAGCGACACAGAAGAGGAAGCGGCGCTCTGTTTACCTCCGGAGGTCGTGGAGTTGCTCAGAAGTGACACCGAGGATGAAGAATTGAATGGATTTAGTGATTTGGAGTGAGATGGAGAGTTTGTTAAACTTGTTCTGTTGTTTATGTTATAGTTTATCTGAAGAACTGTTCATATGTGACGTTAACAGTCTGTTGTTCTCTGTTTTATTGTTATTACTGGAACTTACCTTTGATGAAATGTCGGTTCCTGGTCTCTGATTTTTTAAAATAAATTTCCCCAAGAAGTATGACTTATATATGCTTGTTTCTTCTTTATTACGCATTTTTTGGCTTTACTCCGGAGCCACTTATAGTCCGAAAAATACAGTACTCACTTTTCAAAGCGTGTGGTTTTGGCTGGTCAGGTAACCAAAATATATTGTTTCAGGTTACATCACTTGAAGTCAGTGTTGTAATTGTCATGACCCGGTTCCAATCTTTCTACGTCTTATTTGCTGAACTGTAGGTGAGTCCGGACTATAACCAGACATATATAACACTAGAGTCCTCCTCTGGCTTCTGCTGCTGTGTCTTTGCGAAACCGAGAGTGGAAGTTAACCAACTGCTGCCTCATTAATCAAAAGGGTGCAGTGGAAACCAGAGGGGAGCTGTCCTACATCTCCTCTGAACACGCGACTTAAAATAACTGGGACCATCATAAATAACGCGCTGAAAATCTCTTAAATAAGGCTGCGGCATTACTCAACACTTGGGCCAAAATACAGAAGACGGCGGATGAAAAAGGCGATTGTTTAAATGAGTCTGGAGGATACGTGTTTGCTTTAATTGTGCTTAAGTAAAGGTCCTATATTACCTCCTCAAAAACAGACCTGGAGTTAAGTTTTGTTTCACCTTCAAGCGAACAGTTCCTCTTACCTTTAGTTCAATAGAGATGAGCAATTCCAGGGCTGAAATTGTGAAAATTCTAGTGAGTTTAAAAACACAGTGGAGCACTTCCTGTATTACCACATGACATCACAAGGTGGAGCAGAGAGATTTCAGTTTGAGAGAAGAACTTAAGTCTAAATATGCAGGTTTGTGTATTAAACATGTGAGAATGAAACTCAGCAGCTACTACTACTACTACTACTACTACTGGTATTACTACTACAGCTGATACTACTACTACTGCTGCTACTACTACTGCTACTACTACTGCTACTACTACTGCTGGTGCTATTACTACTACAACTATTGCTACTGCTGATACTACTACTACTACTACTACTACTACTACTACTACTACTACAGCTGATACTACTACTACTACTACTGCTACTACTGCTGGTGCTATTACTACTACAACTATTGCTACTGCTGATACTACTACTACTACTACTACTACTATGAGTACGTCCACGACTACTACTGCTGCTGCTACTGCTACTGGAGTGGTTACTACTACTACTGGTATTACTACTACAGCTGATACTACTACTACTACTACTACTACTACTGCTGCTAGTACTACTACTACTACTACTACTGCTCCTATTGCTGCTGCTACTACTACTGCTGGTGCTATTACTACTACAACTATTGCTACTGCTGATACTACTACTACTACTGCTGCTGCTACTGCTGCTACTGCTACTACTACTAAAGCTGATACTACTACCACTACTACTACTGCTGCTTCTACAGCTGATACTACTGCTGATACTACTACAGCTGCTACAACTACTGCTACTGCTACTACTACTACTACTACTGTTACTGGTGCTGTTACTACTACTGCTGCTGCTGCTGCTACTACAATTACTACTACTACTACTACAACTATTGCTGCTGCTGCTGTTACACACTTCTGTAACTGAACATGTTTAGGTCTGATGTTGAATTGGTCGTCTGGACTTTCTGTCAGTGTCCTTTTGCAAATGTCAAGTAGCGTTTCCCTGGAGTTAGAATAATGTGTCTAGACTCATTGTGACTAATCATTGATAATGTGTAGTTACATAATGGGCCATGTGTCTTACAAAACCAGGGCCTTCACTCCGCCAAACACAGACTTTTACAATTTTAAACGAAAAATAGATAGAAATAACAGAAATACAGCTTTATGATAAACTACTACTGCTACTGCGAACTAAAACTTGGAGATTTGAAAATGTCCTTTGCATTTGTGAAAATGTAACTTTAGTGGTGCACTGGGTATATAATGTATGTTTTTCACGGCATTTAAATTAATTTTTTTTATAGATATATATACATATATAATATACATATAATATACATATATAATATAGACCCTTTATAGGGTCTATATTAAAAAGGTGTTCCACAAGGGTCTATACTAGGACTACTAAAGTTTATGGTAGAATCTGTAAAAATGAATGTTTTGAATAAAACCCCATGGCTGATTTTTTAAATTTATTTTTTATTTTTTATTAAGCATAGTATAGGCCTTTTATAGAAGTATTTTAAAAAGGCAGTCCACTAGGCCCACTAAAGTTGATGGTAGAATCTGTAAAAGTGAATGTATTAAATAAAAACTCCAGTGCTGAAATTGCATTTTTTGTTTAGCATAATAATAAAGTATTTCAAAATTAGTTCCACAGGGGTCAATACTAGGCCCACTAAAGTTGGTACATATAAAGATGGCAGAATCTGAAAAACGAATGTAATGAATAAAAACTCCAGAGCCCCTAACCAGTGCTGAAATAGTATTTTTATTAAATACTTTCAAGATCCAAGTTTTTCGAAGAATAACAAAGCTATGATGAAGACCAACTAACACTCAGACAAACACTTGATAGTCGTCAATTCATGGTTCTTGTATTTCATTGTACATTATGATCATGCAAAAAAACTCCAGCGTCCAAGTGAAGGTAGCTGAAGGGGAGGAGGAGGAAAGCGCAGCCCAATATATTATCATTACAACGCAGGGAAAAATGCGAACATCGAGGGCCTCAAACCAAGCTTTTACGGCTCCTTTTGTATTTCCATTATATATTTTTTTGTAATTTTTGCTATTTTTTTTTTTCAATATTTTCATATCACATTCTGGATGGAGGCAATAATTTTTTCAGTGATGCAAACAGAATATAACACTAGCTCCGTCCATATCCGGTAGAAATGCTTAACTCAAACATGCATATAACTAGGTTCACCCACCCGCCAACAGTGCAAGTCAGTTTTAAATGTTTTTCACCCCCCTCTATCTCAAATGGAACAGGCACAATACCACCATCGGGTAGATTACATTATAAATAATTGTAGCCCTGATCAATAATAATATATCTCAAATTTATGTTCCCTTTTTTAATAATGAAAGTGAGGGAGAGTGCAGAACTCCAGCTTGGCAGAAAAAGCTACAAAGACGAGGACGAAAAGAAATTAAAAAACATGAAATCAACATCTTAAGAGCTAGAAGGGGGGTACGATGGTTGAATGGAGACAGTTACAGTGCACAGAAGGGTGGATATGTTACGAAAAGCCAAGAACACCATTATATTGTAGCCAAAAGTGTGCCAAATGTGCATATACGATATGAAACATCACAGCATCGTGGAGAGAGTAAGGACACTATGGAGAAAGAGTGGTTTGTCAGGGCTCAACTTCTGATCATTTAAAACAGTCAAAACAGTCTGGGATTCTCAACTGGTGGGACTGGGATACAAAATATATGGAATTTTCAGAGGGAAAACTGGATTTAAGTTAGAATTAGGGCAGTACTCGGGTATAGCAAAATGAACAAATTATCTTATGAACTACACATTTTTCTTGTAACTAAGTAGAAGTTTTAGTAGTACAGAAGGGTTTTTATTCAAGTTACTAAGTCAAATATTAAGATATCACAATAATATTATCAAAATTTTAACATAGATAGCAAATACTGCAGGCATTTTCTGATAGTGTGTGGTCATAGTTTGAATTCTCCAGTGTTCCATTTGTCTTAACTTGAAAAAATTGACTAAATTACCTCGTTCATATAGGAAAATTGGGAACAAAATGAAAAAATTACAAAAAAAAGCTAATTTTGGATCACAGAAGCCACGAGTTGAGAATCACTGCCTACACCATTCCATAAAGGGATTCTATTTGCATTTTTGTAATTATAAATTATATTTTTGTTCGAGAAATTTGGTCACTTCTTGCACGCGTAAGAAATTTTTTGTTACATTTTTTTCGCCCTTTTTCTTGTCATTGTCCAACAAAACTCGATTTAAATGCTCAAATTGTAAAATTTGCAAAAATATTTTCAAATATTAAAACGGTAAACCTCTTTTGTAGCAGCGATTATTTAAGAAATTGTCTTTCGGCCCTAGTTTGTCTATCAAATCAATGCATCTTATGGTACATTGAAACTCATCCCAACACTAAGTAAAGTCAAAGTGCCCAAAGCCTCAAATATAACTCCTTATTGTGTTGTTTTCTTAAAGCAGTTTCGTAAAATCGCCCCAGCCCTTGATTTTTATAGTAAATAGATCTCATTTTTACTTTCTCACTTTTTCCATCAAAGTGGAAAGTGACCAATATTTTTAAACCGAATCGCCGAAATTTGTTCTTGTTAAGGTAGTGGGGTGGTTCCCATAGCCCAAAATGCACAGGATGGATGTCTCTTTAAGATACATGTACATATATTACAGTTTTCTACATATATCTATACATACACTGTATTTACACAGTGGGGTATTAACAAACCAGGCCCTTAAAGAGAAAGCAGAGAAAAGCATCATGGGTAAAAACCTGGAGGTGGGAGGGGGGAATGGTGGTGTTTGTGAATGGGAGGAGAGGACATGCAAAACGCAGACGTAGCTCTCTCCTCTGCACTGCATAAAGACATAAAACACACACTGTAGCTTCTTTTTTTTGAAACTTGCACATTATAAATTCCCTCTTTTTTTAAACGGGAGCCGCGAATATATATATAATATCAGTCAAAAATAATAATAAAATAAAAAGACAAAAATAGGCTCCGTTTATTCACAGGAACGCAGAGGGAACAGACGCTAAAAACACAACACGAAAAAAAAAAAAATTAAAAATAAAGTTAAAATTCCCGCCCCGACTTTGACGACAAAACAGCTCGTCCTTCAATAAACAAGCACTCGAGCAACAGCAATCGAACGAACACAGAAAAGCCTATAGTTCTACACTTTGGTGCGTTGATATCAAGTTTCTGTCATGAATTGTTACTTGATTTGACTTCCCTCTAAGTTTTTATTGGGAAAAACGTCTCCCTATAGCTTAACTTTACGTCCATGTAAAAAAAAAAAAAAAAAAAAAAGGAAAAAAGCACAATACCTTTCTAACTTCCCTAAAATGTCAAAACGTGTCCAAAATCTCGTGTTGCCTCTGCTAACTGCACATAACTTGTTCATCTCCTCCCTTTTTAAGTAGATATAGAATATAAATGCTCACTTTTTGGTGGTGTATCGTACATCTAGTCATAATTTACACAGTATAGTCAATAACTCATTTACTGTCACAAGTTCAACTGTTTTAAATCCTCGCCCCCATCTTCCCCCATCTCGCGTAGGGCGGAAAAAAGATGGCTGCCGGGGGGGTGGGGCAGAGGGAGGGGCAAAGGGACACCTCCTCCAATCAGGCGCCAGACGCATGCATCATCATCATCATCATCAACCCAATGGGGGCGGAGCCTTGTGTTCAGCCCGCCTCAGCAGGTCAAAGGAGGGACAGGATTGGTTGGTTTTGTCACGGACGGGGACGGCGGGAGCCAATCCCGTTGCAGAGGACGTGAACCTCCGAAACACGCTGAAAAAAACTGCCCCCCAAAAACACACACTCCAGACAGGAGACTGGAGGCTCAGACCACTGCAGACACAAGAGAGAAGAGAGAGAAACGTCAAGGGGAGATTTCAGCTCCTTTAAGAAACATACAAGTAATTTTAAATAAACATGACCAATCCGTGTATCATTTGTTCATTTGTTTTTTCAAAATAAAACCGAAAATAAGAACACGAAAAAAACTACCATTTTCTTCATTATTTGTCTCCAAAACCAAAATGAAAAAATGGATAATGATTTGTTTTCATTTTTCGATTTTGTGTTTAAATGAATAATGGAAAAAATGGAAAAAACGGAAAACTAAAACGGGACTAAACCAGGTCTAAACCAGGTCTAAATCAGGACTAAATCAGGACTAAACCAGTAGTGAGTTTCAGGACGGGACAGAGATGAGCCCACGTAGACTGCTGGGTGATCAGGACTGAGAACAGGACCGAGACTAGGACCGAGACCGGTTTAGTCCTGTTTTAGTCTTGGGATCAGTCCGGGTTCAGTCCGTATGCGGTGCAAAAGTCCAGCAAGTCACGTAAACGGTAAATGGACGTTATTGATTTTTTCCATTATTCATTTAAACAAAAAATTGAAAACTTTTTCATTTTGATTTTGGAGACAAATAATGAAGTTGTTTTTTCATTTTCTTACTTCTGGTTTTATATTGAAAAATGAATTAACAAATGATACACGGATTATGAGCCATCTATGTCCCCAGAGACGAGGTAGACATGTTCAAATGCAATATTGCTTTATTAGTACGGACTGCAATTTATCCTTAATTATATAAACATTGTTCTTTATGTTATAATTTGGTTCTCTTGATGATTGTCCAATCACAAAGCAGAATCAGTGCTAGTGCAGCCTCTGCAGCTCACTGAGGGAATTCTGGAGGTTCTGAGCTTTCACACAAGGCCTATCCATAAACTGGAGATGAGAAAAACTTGTACACTATCAGTCAAAAGGCTCAACATGCTTTTTTTAATTTCCTATTTATTTCGATGATTATTTACATTTTAAATTCTCACTGAAGACTTCAAAACTATGAATGGTCACATATGGGATGTAGCAAACAAAAATGTAACCCAAAATGACTCAAAAACTGTTTTAGATTTTAAAATATATGCACCCTTTGCTTTGATCACTGCTTTGCACTTTTGACATTTCTCCTCCCTGACAAGTCACAGCTGTGAAGTGGAAACCATTTCATGTGAATTCATCAAGAAGATGTTTGAGAGAAGGCCAAGGGTTTGCAGCGCTGTCGATAAAGCAAAGTGTGGATACTTTGAGCACTGCATATAAAATATAAAAGATATTAACTCGAGTTGTTTAACATTTTTCTTTGCTGTATAATTCCATATCTCTCCCATCAAACATGTGATGTATTTGTGTAAATAAAATGTAGAAAGTCAACATAGAAAAAAGAAAACATTGACTGAGAGGCTGTGTCCAAACTTTTGACTGGTAGTGTTTTGTCCTCTGTATGAAGGATGAGGCACTGGCAGCTCAGGTTGAGTTGTGACTGCAGTGTCTTTTAAACTTTTAAATGTGCGGAACTTTTCTGGTACAGGACTTGTCAAATCCTTGTCTCTATGGAGATGTTACTGCTTTGTCTGGAATATGCCCACTATGACATTAAACCTTTCTATCTTCATAGAGCACAAACCAGACCAAGTTACAGGTCAGATCCTTGGAGAGGCGACCCCACTCACAGTCAGAATACCTGTTTCTCTAGATATTTTCTATTTTGGAGATATGAAACCATCTGTCAGACGTGGGACCAAGTCGTTGTTTTGCAAGTCTCAAGTAAGTCTCAAGTCTTTGACCTCAAGTCTGAGTCAAGTCCCAAGTCAAATAAAGGCAAGTCCAAGTCGAGTCTCGAGTCACTGGTCCATAAGTCCAAGTCAAGTCAAAGTCGTCTGCTTTGAGCTTCAAGTCATTTCAAGTCTTTAAACCAAAAAAGTACCAAATATTTAAACTAAATATTACTTAAAAAATCATGGTATATTTATATATGAGTATTTATATAAGAGTTTTAGAAATGGACATTTTTCCTTTTTAAATGTCTTGACAAAATCTTAGGGTGAATCATTATGGGTAGAATAAAAAGAATTCAGATTTAAAAGTGATTAAAAACAGTTATTTTGTCGTGTAGTCTGCATTGAAATGGAAGGATCATGTTCTATGTAGTTCCCTCTGTTTTACTGCATTGTACTGTGTATTACTGTAGTACATTTGATGATACCACATCACAGTACTTCAGTTACATCCAAAGTAACCAAACAGAAGTGGGAGGGACATGTTCCAGTTTGTTCCTTTAAAATTAAGTTCCGTATTTGTCAACAGTAAAGAGAAAGTATTTTCTAAAAACCTATATTTTTTTAAGAGAAGCATCAAGTCTTCTCAAGTCACAGGCCTCAAAGTCCAAGTCAAGTCCCAAATCTTAGTCCATTTTATCAAGTCAAGTCTCAAGTCCTAAAAATAGTGACTCAAGTCTGACTCGAGTCCAAGTCACGACTTCTGCCACCTGTAATTGAATAAATGTAAGGTAGAGCTGTTTAATGTCACACTGAGGAACATTCCAGGCAGAGCAATGACATCTCCGTAGAAACAAGCAGGTAACGGACCCCCGACCAAAAAGTTACATCATACACCTTTAAATAATAATAAAATCTCGGTGTATGTTAGTGCCGTCCTCGCTCCTCGTACCTGATCACTGTAGTGGTGCAGCCGGCGCTCCTGAGCAGTGGAAGTGAACGTTGAGCCACTTCCCGTCGCGGCGGTGCCAGACGCGGGTCTCCTCCGACTGGCTGGAGCGAGGCCGTCCGGTGGAGTCCACAAACTGCGTGAGGCGGATGTAGGCGATGCACGCGGCGTCCTCCCCGATCAGATGGACGTGAGGGTTCAGCAGAGTGGTGTGGACCGGCTTACTGTTCTTACTCAGCACTAAAAGGGACAGAGAGAGTCAAAGTCGTTTTTACACAGATTCATGGGGATGTTTGGATGTTTGCAGCTCAACAAAAAAGACCAGAGTAACTAACCAGAACTGCCACTCTCTACTGAACTAAAGATAAAAGGAGCTGTTCACTTGAAAACTACCTCTTCTTAATATCACAAGCTGGAACAGAGCATTTTGAGGCTTGAAATAATAATAAAAAAAGTTCCTCAAACATACGTGAATGAAACAAAATACAACTTTTGGCCTGTTTTTGATGAGGTAACAACTTTATAACATGACTCAGCCTTCGTTCAGACTGCAGGGCTTAAAGGTTGTATAGAGGATTTTTTTAAGGGAAGAGAAATACAGCGACAGTCCTTGTGCACATTCAGAATTACTGTTGAAGTTTCCTGTCTAGAAGTAATTCAGCGACCGACGCGTCAGTTTTTAGACCCTTCGTCTGCTTCGGTCGCGCCATCGCTGGACGAGATCTCCAAGAATCACCTCAGTTTGGTTTTGCTCCTTTTCTCCTTCTCTTCTTCTTTCAACGACCTCAAAAACTGACTTTCTTTTGCAGCGAACCAGTCGTGGATTCTCGTCCACCGTCGCGACAAACTTTGTGCGAAATGCGAGGAAGCAACAGTTCGAAAAAGCCTCTAAGAACCGCTGCGTAAACCACGTAATCCCTGCGCTCCGACGAGTCAGTTATACTAGGGAGTTTGATTGACAACCCAACAGCCAATAGAAAATGAGGGAGCCTCGTTTTCTATTGGCTGATGTTTATCTGGCCTCAACACGTCCACAGTTGATAGATTTTCGTTCTTTTTTTTTTGGTCATCATAATTACAAAGCTGCTGCAGCTCTGTAATGGTATTTTAATCTTTCACTGACAGTTTGAAACAAAAAAAAAATCCTCCATACAACCTTTAAGTCTCAATTCGGATTTTCTTGTGAAATCCGACTTTTTTGCGAGGTCGTTCACATTTCCAATTAAACGCGACTTGTGTGTGATCTCCAGTGTGAACTTTAAACGCCCCAATAGTGTCCCACATGAGCATTGGAGGACACGACGACGTCACAATCAGCAAGCGAGCTCAGTGTTTACGGAGGCAGTAGCTCAGTTGGTAGAGTGTTCGCCCACTGATCTGAAGGTTGGAGGTTCGATTCCAGCTCTTGATATAAACATCGCAGATTGAGCAATCAGATAAACTGACCCACAGGTTGGCTGGTGTGATTCCAGCTCCCACAGATGAAGGCTGTTGTTGTGTCCTTGAACAAGACACTTAACCCACCTTGCCCACAATGTCTGTGTACACTGGTGTATGAATGTGCGTGTGAATGGGTGAGTGGTTCCTTGTTGTAAAGCGCTTTAAGAGCCTTGAAGGTGGAAAAGCGCTATAGAAAAATGTGACCATTTACGGAAATCGCCTCAACGCTGGGCTTGTCTCCCAAAATACGGTCCAGTTCTTCGTAAAATGGACAGGTTACACGTCCACGGTCGCATTGTTTGAGTATTTGAGTCTTTTGGCGCACATGCTCTCTATTTTTTGTTGACATTGGAGCCAGGACCGTCTGTAGTCGCGCTCTTCTTTGGCTATCTTAAAAAAAACAAACAAACAAAAAAACGCCGGGTTTCTATAAGACCCCTCCAGTTCGTCCTGAATACAGCGAAATCTCCCCCAAATCTCCTCCAAATATTAATTAACTCGCTAAACTCCCTTTCCCTCCATTGACGAGACTCCGAGCCTGACGTGTAGGTGGGATGAATGCGACCTGTCCGTTCAGACTGAAGTCGCATGTCAAAAGATCGGATATGTATCGGTTTTAGGAGCACATACAGACGTGGTACCGCTCTGGCAATGAAAGAAAAATCAACAATCGTCACTGAAATAACTTGAAACCGATAAAAGCAATAATTAATAAAAACTTACTGAAAACTGTCTAACGGACGTACGAACGCTTTTCACCTGTGGTTAAACAGAATATAATGAAACTGGCTTGGACAAAACTGATGGTACCGTTAACTTAATATTTTGTTACACACCCTTTTGAGGCAATTTAACATGTCCAAATTGTCCAAGTATTTACAATCTTTTCAAGGGGTACCGTCATTTTTGTCCAGGCCAGTTTCTTTAATTAGTTTTTTTTTTAAATAATTCTGTTGAACTACAAATCAAAAGCAGTGTCTGATTTTCATTGGTTATTTTTCTGGAAATTTTTATTTATTATTGCTTTTCTTAATTTGAAGTTATGTCAGTGACCATTGTTGATTTTTCCTTCATTACCAGAGCGGTACCAACAATTTTGACCACATCTGTATCCAAGTGGCCTGGGTCACATTTGAAAAAAATCGGATCTGTGTCATTCAGACTCATTAAAAGATCAGATACAGGAGCATAAGGGTGAAAACATCAGATTTGGGTCAGTTCAGGCTGCAGTCTGAACATACCCTATAACAAGCTCACAAAAGAGTCAATTTTGCGTAATATAGGACTTTAAAACGACCAAACCACCATCATATATCATAGTTTTCAGAGACACTCACAGTTCTCAAAGTAAAACTTGTGGAAGTCCATGCCCTCCACCAGGTTCCCCAGGGCCTCGGGTTCGAAGGAGGTGAGTCCGGGATCACAAATCCTCCTGAGGCGACAGAGGAGGAGAGTTAACAAAGCTCCTAAAGGCTACAAGGTAAGAACCAGCTAAAAGTGATCCAAGAAGTTAATAGTAAAACTGTGAATCTTGAGACGTTTCCCCACCCACTCGTCCTGTTCAGTCTAACTTTTCTAGTCAGCCTTTCACTCTTCTCCAAGGAAATGTTACTGCTTTGTTTGTTTATTCGGTTAGTTCAGATTTATTTGAAAAGGCGACAAAATACAGTTAAATATAAAGTTTTAATGCCATATTGTGGAACATTACAGGCAAAGCAGTAATGTCATCAAATGCTTGTTTTCTTGGAGATGTTATTGCTTTGTCTAGAATGTTCCACAGTAGAGATTAAACCATTCTATCTCACTGGAGACAACTGTAGGCTACATTATGGATCGGATCTGTGGAGTGGCGACCCTATTCACAGACAGAACTACTGTATTTTTGAACAACCGTAATGAATAAATGCTAGATAAATGTGTTTCATGTCATACCGTGGAACATCCCAAGGCAAAGCAATAATATCTCCATGGAGACTGACAGGTGACGGACCTTCCACCAGAAAAGTTGCGCAATGCACCTTTAAGTTCTGTGTACTGTGTTTTTTCGGACTATAAGTCACACTTCTTTCATGGTTTGGGTGTTGTTACCTGCGACTTATGTATTAAAATTTTCACACTGACAGCCACAAGAGGGCGCTTTAGTCTTGTGTGTGAGTATCTGCTGCTCCTGTTCCTCCTGTACCACTGTCACTTGGCTCTACTGCGCATGTCTCCTGCAGAAAGAGCCTCTGTCCTGTCTGTATCATGTCAGTCGATCGCACCATTACTTCTGTACCACTGAAAATTTAACATTTAAACAAACTTATGAAGACGACTGAGAAGACTGAACACAAATTCCCCAAAAAGAAAGTCATATTTTGCAGATTACAAGCTGCAAGTAGCGAAATCTGCAGCTGAAAATGGTAATCGAGAAGCAGAAAGAAAGTTTGGAGTGAGCTAGAGACTTGTGAGACCGGGAGGATGCAACATGAAACTTTCCTGAAGTCACTGGATGGATGGACAAAGCCTGGACTTCAGTGACTCAGAAACCATCCTGTCGGGATTCAGAAAGGCCCAAATAATTCAAACTGGAACTGATGCTGAGTCTGACGGTCACGGAGTTGCTCAGAAGTGACACCGAGAATGAAGACTTCAATTAGTGATTTGGAGTGAGATGGAGAGTTTGTTAAACTTGTTCTGTTCTGTTGTTTATGCTATAATTATCCAAAGAACTGTTCATATGTGACGTTAACAGTCTGTTGTTCTCTCTTCTATTGTTATTACCAGAACTTAACTTTCAAAAATGTCACTTCCTGGTCTTAGATTTTTAAAATAAATTTCCCCCCAAAAGTGCAACTTATATGTTTTTTCTTCTTCATTACTAATTTTTTGACTGGTGCGACTTATAGTCCGAAAAATACGTATATTTTTTATATATATATTTATTTATTATAATATTAGACCTCACGTTTTCATGTCTTTATTGACCGTTCCCCCGTCTAGCTCCTTTAATGCGACATGTTTTACTCACGTGTAAGCTTCAAAGTCTCCGTTGTTGATAGCCTCGATCAGTTGTTCAGTTATTTTGATGATTTCCTGTTTACGGGCTGCAAACAAAGACAAACACACAAACAAAGCCTGGGTTAGGGTTTAGTTAAGTCAGACTTGTATGTTTCCCTCACTGGCAGCATTCAAGCTTCATAATGAAATCTTATGAAGCAAGCTCACACAAAGGGCACATTTATTTAGTATTTTTTGGTTAGTTTTAAGAACAGGTCTCAGATGCAATTCATATTATTGTGAACCACTATATCACAAACAATTATGACACTTTTCCCCACCCACTCTTCCTATGGGTCAGCCTGAGTCATGATCTGAGTGATTGACAGGTAGATTCAACCAATCACAGCGAAGTGTGAACTCTCAGAAGCAGCAGAAGTCTTTAGTTATCGCTTAAGCCAACATAAAGCTATAATATTGAAAATTGTAAAATTGCCATAAAATATAAATAAATAAAAAATAAATACTAATAAAAAAATAAAATGAATTTAGACTTTTTATTTATCCTCTTTTTTTTTGTTAAAGGTACAGTGTGTAACTTCCTGGAGGGAGTGTCTCACTGGCGTAATTCCATAGAAATAGTTAAAGTTTGGAACATTCTCCATGGAAGTCGAAGCGTTTTATGCCATATTGTGGAAAATTACATCCAAAGGAACAGCAATTCCATGGAAACAAGCAGGAAGAGACCCAGACTAAATAAGAGTCAGGTTTGTGGAGATGCAAGCCCAGTCAGAGTAAGAATAGATGTTTTTCAGTGCAATAAACACAAACAAAATCATGCTGTTATTTTAGTTTTTGGGCTAAAATGTTATTTAAGTCAGTCTAACATTCCTGACTCTCGATAAAACTGTCCAAAAACCCAATAAAAATATACAATACCCCTGTTTTTATCACTTAAACCTGTGAAAAATAAAACGTTCATTATAATTTAGACTAACACTGCAGTGATTTGTCTCCTCTCCTCCCTTCAGTCGGAGTCTTTCCCAGTCTAGTTTTTGTCTTGCCTAAAGTGTGTGCTGTCACTCCACTCTCCCGATTACAGTTTAGACTCATCACTGTCTCTGTCAGTCTGTCGGCTCCTGCTGCCAACTCACCCCGAAGAAACACCACAACAACAAGAGCAGAGAAACAAGCTGTCCACGCACTGCTCACTTTTTACGCTCGGATTCAGGCTCTGAATCAGGCTCTGAATCAGGCCCAGAATCAGGCTCGAAATCAAGCTCAGAATCAGGCTCGGAATCAAGCTTAGGCTCAGAATCAGGCCCAGAATCAGAACCAAAATCAGGTTCAAAATCAAGCTTTGAATCAGGCTCAGAATCAGACTCTGAATCAGGCTCAGAATCAGACCCAAAATCAGGCTCAGGATCTAGTGACAAGGCTCAGAATCAGACTTGGAATGAGGCTTGGATTCAGGCTTAGGCTCAGAATCAGGCCGAAAATCAGGCTCAGAATTGGGCCCAGAATCAGGCTCAAAATCATTCTCAGAATCAAGCTCATGCTCAGAATCAAGACCAGAATCAGGCCCAAAATAAAGCTCAGACTCAGAACTGGGCCCAGAAGTAGGCCCAGAATCAGGCCCAAAATCCGGTTCAGAATCTGGCTCAGAATCTAGTGACAAATGATGATTTAGTTGGGGTTTTCTGAGAGATAAAATGACTACAGAAGCTTCAAGACCACGATGAGCAGATGCAAAAATAGACTGAACTATTAAAGCTGCAGTACCAGACTTCTTTTTCTCCTGGAAAAGTTTTTCCCTATAAATGTATTAGGAAAGCTTTACTTTGCACTTGGACAGCCTCTGCAGAGCAAATGGTGAATTCTGGAGGTTCTGAGCCTGGCCTGTTCATAGACTGAGAATGAAAAAAACTTCTACATGTCGTCTACCTGCAGGTTTAGGCTCTGGCAACACAGGTTCAGCTGTAATATTTTATAAAAGCAGCACTTTATGAGAAAATCAGACTGCTGTGCTGTCTGCATCTGAGAATGAAATGTTTGATCAATCACAAACTCTAAACACAGCCTAATATGTTCCTGTATATAACGCTTTGGGATGAGAGTAAATTGACTGAGCCTTGGTGGTTCACCCTGTTCCACTTCCCCATCTGAAATAGCTCTTCTGCTGTATTACATTATATTGAACTTCATCATTTTTGTTTGGGAACAGCTCCACAAACTTGAAAACATAAGATTAATCTGGCAAGTCCCTTCAACTGACAACAATCACGTCATTTGCGTTGAATAATGGCACCACTTTTTGAAGCTACTGTGAACAAATTATTGCACTTTTTCACACTGTTTATGTTGAACTTCAAGTCAGATTTTGAACACGACCTATATACAGACCATCTCAAAACATTAGAATATCATGAAAAAGTGTAATATTTTCGTCACTTATTTCAGAAAGTCAAACCCATGTATTATATCGACCAGGGGTGATGAAAGTGGAGCTAATTTGGCCCGCAAGGGAGCTCTAAGATTTTAAGAAGAATGTTTTTTTCAATTTTCATATGCAACTTTGTATTGAAAAGGCCAGTCCTGTCAATTTCTTAGTATAAAAAGTCTATGTAATCATGCATTTCTTTGCAGAATAACACTTTTATGTGCAAACTGTCATCAGGTTTGGCCCTTGACCCACATATCTGTATTCATTTTGGTTAAGGAAAAAAATGTGGGCACCCTGATATAGACTCATGGGCCGCAGAGTGAAGCTTGAAAGCTGACGGTGGGTTTGACTTTTTGAAAAAAGTGACAAAAACTATTGAACTTTTTCATGACATTATAATTTTTTTAGATGGTACTTAAAAGGTACAATATGTAACTTTACGACTTCTTGTTTTTTGGAAATGTCATTGCTTTCTTTGGAATGTTCCACCGTGTGACATTAAAGGTTGTATGGAGGATTTTTTTTTGTTTCAAACAGTCAGTGAAAGATTAAAATACCATTACAGAGACGCAGCAGCTTTGTAATTATGATGACCAAAAAAAAAAAAGAACAAAAATCTATCAACTGTGGACGTGTTGAGGCCAGATAAACATCAGCCAATAGAAAATGAGGCTCCCTCAGTTTCTATTGGCTGTTAGGTTGTCAATCAAACTCCCTAGTATAACTGACTCATTGGAGCGCGGGGATTACGTGGTTTACGCAGCGGTTCTTAGAGGCTTTTTCGAACTGTCCCTTCCTCGCATTTCGCGCAAAGTTTGTCGCGACGGCGGACGAGAATCCACGACTGGTTCGCCGCAAAAGAAAGTCCGTTTTTGAGGTCGCTGAAAGAAGAAGCGAAGAGGAAAAGGAGCAAAGCCAAACTGAGGTGATTCTTGGAGATCTCGTTCAGCGATGGCGCGACTGAAACAGACGAAGGGTCTAAAAACTGACGCGTCGGTCGCTGAATTACTTCTAGACAGGTCACTTCAACAGTAATTCTGAATGCGCACAAGGACTGTCGCTGTATTTCTCTTCCCTTAAAAAAATCCTCTATACAACCTTTAAACAGCTCTACCTTAAATGTATTCAATTACAGGTGGATTTATAGGCCAAAAATACCTAGAAAAACAACATTCTGACTGTAAGCGGGGTCGCCTCTCCACAGATCTGACCTGTAACTTGGTCTGGTTTGGTCTCCATGAAGATAGAAATACTGTGAGACATTCCAGACAAAGCAATAACATCTTCATGGAGAAAAACCGGTAGCGGACACTCCACCAGAAAAGTTACACAATGCAACTTTTAAACTTTAGTAACTATCAGTGAGAAATTCTCTAGGTTCGAGAGTTGAGAGTTAATGACAGATGCAGAATGCCAACAGTGCGGTGTTATTCGTGCATGTAGTTAGAGCTATGGCACACAGGGGGCGACACAGCGGGGGTGGGTTGGGTCCAGATGAGCTCTTACTCGGCTTAGTGTTGCATTTAGCAGCGGCAGCAGTTGCGTTGCCCCCTAGTGGAGCGGTGTTGGACATGGGCGACTGCGCGTGCTCCGAGTCTGGGCACGAACTGTTGCCCGTGCTGTTCCATGCCATGCGCTTTACATCATGCGGTGGCACTGAAAACACAACTCAATGGTCAAACAACACAGAGCGGAGGGCAAAAAGACAGGAACACAATGTGCGTCACGTCACACATGCAAACGCAAAAGAGAAGGGCTGTGGCAGGAGGGAGTTTCACACCTGAGTTTACACTATACACCTGAATCTGATGCCTAAATACACTATGTAACATTTCTGGTGTGGGTTCTGTTACCATCTTGTCTCCATGGAAATGTTATTTGTTTTGCCTGAAATGTTCAACAGTGTGTAATAAGGCTGTGCAATTAATTGAATTTTGATCGCAATTTCTATGAGTGTCAAACAATAAAAACTCATATAATCGAATTGAAACAATAAAAGCTTAAGAAAGTTTATTTTGGGATATTTTTAATATAAATAAGTATATATATTTCATTTTTTAAATATAGAGATTGTAGAACAGCTGGATATGTAGTTTATATTGGATACATTAATTTTTTTCTATGACTTATTTCATGTTCAAAGTATATTTTATTTATGTTTTATACATCGCAAAACTGCTCTAAGGTTCATATTTGTAGCCTATATTTATTTTCGATTTGAAAGTTTTATGTAAAATATCAATAACCAAGTGTTTTGTTTTGGGGTTTTTTTGAGAGAAAGAGAGAATTGCTGAATAAATGTGTGCGTAAAAGCATAACTACAAAATAATCGTTTGAATAATCATGATTTCAATATTGACCAAAATAATCGTGATAATGATTTTTTCCATAATCAAGCAGCCCTAGTGTGTCATTAAATTTATCTAGCTTGTATTTATTCAATAGCTGGTGTTTTTATTGCTTAAAGCCTTAAAAAAAGCATTTTGATTTTAAGATCTTGACTGTGGGAAATTCTCGCAAGCAATAACTTCTCCATGGAAACAAACAGGTGATGGACCCTCCACTAGAAAAGTTACGCATTTGCACCTTTAAAATAAAAATAAAAAATATATATTGTGATAATTTCATCTGCTTTCAAGGTACACAATGTAATTTTTGTGGTGGAGGGTCGTCACTTTCTTGTCTCCAGGGAGATGTTCTTACTTTGACTCGAATGTTTCACGGTATGGCATTAAACTCATCTATTTCCATGAAGATAAGGAGCCAATAAAAACACTGTATTTGAATAAATGCAAAATAAATAACTTTAATAGTAGTGTGAAATCATTTCAGTGGTGAGTTTTGATGATAGTTTTGCCATTAATTAGGATTTATAAGAGTAAAAAAGATATTTACAAACTAATCAATACTAAAATTGGTATAAATATTGGAAAAAACAAACTTATATAAGCAACTTTGGGACTTTCCTGAATAGTTACGGAATAATTTTGATGTATGGCCGAACTAGTATGAGACCTGGTAACGTTTTTGTGTTGAAAATTAAAGGCTACTGTCTAAAAATTTCACCAATTTCTTTTACATAGCGCTAAATTTGAGTTTGAAATATGCCCAAACAGACAAATCTAAACAAAAACTATTAAGCAGGTGTGAAAATTACCCTTCCAAAACCTGACGTTAGTAAAAAAAAAAACAAAAAAAAACATGACAAACTAAAATGCAGATGAACAGAGCACAGCAACAGAACCAGGACCAGTGCAGCTCTGATCCACAAACGTTAGAACTGTTAATACTGCATTAGCATTAGCGTTAGCATTAGCATTAGCGTTAGCATTAGCGCGCTAACCAGCTAACAAGCGCTAACAAGGACGGAAGCCGAAAGGGGTCACAACAAACGTAAACACCGCAACAAATACAAATGCAACAACACAACAAAAAGCCACAACAAACCAAAAAAAGCCACAACGGAAATAACCGCGGGACTCTATTTTAAAGCAAACGCCACAACACAAATGCAAATGCCGCAACACATTAAAAAGCCAAAACGGAAGTGACCGCGGGACTCTACTTTCCGACGGATCGATCAAGCGCCAAGTGAAGAAGAAAAACTACAACGTGAAAAATAAAGGAACGAAGAAGTTGGAAACGCAAGTAAATGTAATTTATTGTTTTATCATTATTCGTTTCACGTTGTAGTTCTTCTTCTTCACGTCCCGCGGTCACTTCCGTTTGGCTTTTTGATGTGTTGTGGCTTTTTAATGTGTTGTGGCTTTTGCGTTTGTGTTGTGGCGTTTGTATTTGTTGTGGCGTTTGCATTAAAATAGAGTCCCGCGGTCATTTCCGTTGTGGCTTTTTGTCGTGTTGTCGCATTTGTATTGGTTGCGGCGTTTGCGTTTGTTGTGACCCCTCTCGGCTTCCGTAAACAACAGCCCAGCAAAACAAACGAAGCCATTGCTCATATGCAGATCTACAAGCATGTTCAAAGAAGGTGCACCATGTAACTTTTCTGATTACATGAAGACTTGGTTGGTATATCCTCCCCCCAGAAAAGTTACATATTGTACCGTTAATCTGTATAAACGTAGCCACAACGATGCTAAGTGTATGAGCCTTATATTTCAAAACAAAACTGAACGCTACAGCTAATATTCCCTTTATATATCTATAGCAGGAGTAGCACTGTAGCTGCTGTTGCAATTTTGATGAAAAGTCGTATATATAAGACATAATAATAAAAGCAACGTCACCATTATTGGAAAATAACTGAAATCATGAATACATAGAAAAGTTACTGTCAAAAGCTAACCCTGTAGAAGAAAATATGTATTCATAATAGGGATGTAACAATAACTGAAATATCGTGATACTGTATCGTCAAAACTCTCTCAATATGTCAAATCTTAAGTCTCTTTGCTTAAATTAGTTTTTATGGTGCAGCTTGAGCTAAAAGAAATAGAGGGAACTACATAGACCATGATCCTTTGCTCTGTTTCAGTCCAATTTACAAGACGAAATAACATTTTAAGCACTTTTAAATCTTATCTCTTTAGTTTATGACAGTAAATTTCGTACCGTGAGATGCATATCGTGAAAATATCGTACAGAGAAATTTGGATATTGTTACATCCCTTATTTATAATGAAAACTTTTGTCATTCTTGTTTTAAAAACGCTCGATTTGACAAGTGGCTGCTACTTTTTTTGGGGGACAAAACAAACTCCCATATAGTTCATAACAGAATTTCTTTTGTTGCTTTTTAAACTGTTCTTTTCTTTTTTTTAAGGTGCACTGTGTAAGTTTTTCTTTTTTGGGGTCCGTCACCTGTTTGTTTCTATGCATATGTCATTGCTCTGCCTGGAATGTTGCACAGTAGGACATTAAACAGCTCTACTTTACATTTTACAGCTCAAAAATACCTGGGAAATGGTATTCTGACTGTGAGCGGGGTCGCCTCACCACAGATCTGACCTATAACTTGGTCTGGTTTCCGTGAAGATAGAAAGTTTTCATATTTAACATACACTGACTGAGAAGGTGTAGGCTGAAGCTTGAGCTTATTATGTCTTTACCCTTTATTCTTCGGTCAGAGTGGCGTCTTGACACCAGTTCATATTCATAAATACAGCAAGAGGAAACAAATCAATAACAGTACAACAAAATCTTAATTCACGTATCTGCCTAGAGGTAAACATTTAAACTTCTTTATAAACTGGAAGAAATTGGTGCACAATTTTAGGTTTTCTGTACAACTGTTCCAGAGCGCCACCGCTTTAACAGATTTTTAAATTTCATAATATTTGTTCAGATTTTCTTTTTGAAAAACATGGCTGTACCTCTGAGCTCATATTGGCTAGTTTGGATTTTGAACATTGGATTCTGTAATGATTCTGACGAGAGATTGTTTACTTTGATTTACTTGAACATGATTTAACGTCATACTGTGAAACATTCCAGACAAAGCAATAACACCTCAAGGGAGAAAAGCAATTGACGGACGATCCAGAAAAGTTACACAGTGCGCCTTTAAATAATCCAAGCCAATAGAACGTTATGACGTCGTGTGTTCTGCAAAACTACCGACACAGCTCAGGCCTCTAAAACAAAGTCGAGGTGAATGCAGTGAAAACGGGGAAACACAGCTGCAAGGTCCCCCCTCCACTTCTCTGCTCCGTCAAATCGAGACGACAAAAAGGAGAAAAATGCAGTGATGCACACAACACACACAAACACACACATTTCAGGGTTCCCACAGCGGCAAAAATGGTCCAAAATTAGGCCTAAAAATATTATGGGCTTATTTGGATATTATGAAAGAAAGAGAGAGAGAAGAGGGAGCGAGGGGGGATTCTACGGTAGTGAGGTGGTCAAACTGAACAGGCTACTTCTACTGTGCACTGATTCATAAAATAAGGTTAGGAACAGGTAGGTGTAGTAGTACAGTTGTTTATTATAGTTTTATTATTTTTACTTTTAAATTTAATAATGCTGCAGTGTGTTTTTTCATTGGTTTTAAAGCTCTTATATAATGAAAAATTGACTCTTGTGAGCTTTAAGTCATGGGTAACACTTTATAATAACTACACCTTATTTAAGCCTTAATAAAGCATGAACAAAGACTTAATTAATAATGATTCACGCTTAGTAACTACTTAATTACTACCTGAATTAGCACTTAATTTGCACTTAATTCGCCTGTGCTGTAAATAGTTACTCATAAGTATTTCTTACTTAATTACTCATGAACTAACCATTTGTGTGTGCATTTGTAAATGTATATTTAAGTACAAATTTGAGCATTTATTAATGATTAGTAAGCCATGAGAGAATGATTTACTTAATAATGCATTATTGTTTCTCTGGAGTTTGACCAACCTTAACAAATGCTTCATAAAGCATAATTAGCCTTCACTTTAGAAAAGCTCTCAGAAAGACTTAACAGATCATTGCAGTAAATCATTAGTAAATCATTCTCTCATGGCTTACTAATCATTAATAAATGCTCAAACATGTACTTAAATATGCATTTGTAAACATGCAAATGGTTAGTTCAAGAGTAATTAAGAAGTGTTGAGTTACTATTTACAGCACAGGCGAATTAAGTGCAAGTTAAGTGCTAATTCAGGTAGTAATTAAGTAATTACTCAGCCTGAATCATTATTAATTAAGTCTTTGTTCATGCTTTATTAACGCTAAATAAGGTGTAGTTATTATAAAGTGTTACCAAGTCATGTTATAAAGTTGTTATCTCATCAAAAACATACTTGGAGTTGTGTTTTATCCATTCCCATATGTTCGCCTAACCCTTTATTATTACTCTGTCCACATCTCCAAAGCTCAAAACGCTCTGTTCCACCTTGTGATGTCATGAAGTGGTAGTTTTCAAGCAACATCTACCATACTTTTTACCTTTTGTTCAGTAGAGATCGGCTGAAATTATACAAATGATTCCAGTGAACGTCATTACTTAGAAAAAGTATGTGATGTTTTCTTTTATTTATTTATTTATTTGAAGATAAAATACTTTTGTTTTATCTAAGATCAGTTCTGCATTCCTACAATACACGGACATGTTTTAACAGAGAATTTTGTCTCGCTCAGACGTCGTTATTTTTATTTACAAATGATGAAGGGCATTGAAAAACTACCTTTATAGTAATTTATTTATTTAATCATATTACGTCTGCCTTTTGCAACTTTGTTTAGAACTGTGAGGAGACTTAAAAATACAAAACTCTACTATAAATCTGTAGATAGATACTAAGCTTTTAATACACTTAATTCTACGAAGTTAGAAGATTAAAAGAGAGACTTTTTGAGCATAGGGCCAGGTAAATAAAGACTTAATAATTAGGTAGGTAGGTGTATTATTGATACACATTTCAAATTGTTTATTATTATTTATTATTTTGACATTTAAATGTAATAATGCTACAGTGTGTTTTGTCATAGGTTTTAAAGGTCCTATATATAATGAAAAATTTACTCTTGTGAGCTTTAAGCCATGTTATAATGTTTAGGGGTGTAACAGTACACAGAAATCACGGTTCGGTACCTCGGTTTTGAGGTCATGGTTTAGTTCATTTTTGGTTCAGTTTGGGAACAAAATTTTCTTGTTGTTTATTTGTGTGTTTATTAAACCACCAGTTTGTTTAAACATTAAACAAACGGGAAAATTAAATAAATGCAAAGTGCTGCTTGGTAATACTAATAAGTTGGATAAAATATTCTCAAACAAACTTTTCTAAAAGTAAAGTGCAGCACTAACAGTTCCAGCATGACGTTTTACTCAATCTTAATATTTTTGGCCAGAAAAAACATCTTGGGAGGGAAGGGGGTGGAGATTCCGTGCCGGCAAAAGGCGAAAGTGAGGACCACGGCACGACGATCCTAGTTTTGCGAGGATTCACGTAATTCAGAGGGACATAGTCAAGGTGGTCGCCCTAACTATAAAGCGCTGCGGGAATCACTGTCACCCCAATCACGGACGAGTTTCCATGTGAATATTAAAGAGCTGAGCCTTTGTGTAGCTGCACATGTAGCGGCGGAATGTAAACACACACAAATTGCGCAAATTCACTCGTGCACAGACCTGCACCGAACCAAACGTCCCGTACCAAAACAGTTCTGCATGAGTACATGTACCGTTACACCCCTGCAGTTGTGTTTTGTTTAATTCACATGTGTTTGAGTAATCCTTTATTATTAGTTTGTCTACATCTCCCAAGCTCATAATGCTGTGCTCCTCTTTGTGATGTCATGAAGTGTAACTATACAAAATTCAACTATAAATACGTCTGTACTTTAAGATTTTAATACACTTATTTCTATAATTTTAAGATTAAAAGAGTGACTATTAGTAAGCAGGGACAGGTAAATAAAGACTTAAATAATTGTGGAGGGAAAAAAAGTCAAAAAGTTAACTTTGATCAAAAAAAAGAAAATATTTTATTCCAAAAAATTTGCTCAAACCTAGTGGGAACCCTCAAAAAGGCAGTGGGAGAGGTCAGATGTAACACGCTATTGCCAGTGACTACAGTTAAGAAGCCGAGTCTGGTGTTTGGTGGGAGGAAGAGGAAGAGGAAGAGGAGGAGGGGTAAGGTGGAGGGGGTGAGAGGTCACGGGGTCATCGCCAGAGGCAACCGTCTAGCCCGCGGTTGCCGTGGATACACTTACTGGCAGGTGAGCTTTGAGGTGAGGGCAGAAGAGGGGGCATCTCCTCAGTGGCACTGCTAAGACTCTGGGCCGAGCTGTCCGCTAAAAAAACAACCACACACACGGAAAAAAATACAGACGCACGAAAAGCACCCGAACGCACCGTACAAACCGCGCACGCACACACACACACACGCACACACACGATTCACACGAACAACACAAACACAAAGTGAAAAGTGAGACACGCACTCTCCGCCGCAGAATCGCGTCACGCCGGACAGGACAATCAAATATGCAACAAAACCAGGGCAGAGACAAAGTAAGGAGTGATAAAAATGGATCAAGTACCTTTCCTACCTTTCATTTCTTCCTCGTCATTGGTGGCATTGCTTTCTGTTGAACCCTGTAGTCGAAAAGACACAAAAGTTAAACCCAAATAATAAAAATAATAATTGTAAATGGGTGTCAGTTATAGGGATGAAGTGTTGAAACCGCGATTTGACTTGCAATTTCTGCTTCTAGATTGCACAACGTTGACCCTTGTGAACTTTAAGTTGTGCTCTTATGTTGTGTCTTTGTCAAAAACAGACCTGGAGTTGTGTTTTGTTTCATTCACACATTCGAGTAATCTTTTATTATCAGTCTGTCTACATTTCCAAGTGGTAGTTTTCAAATTAAAAGCGACATTTTACATTTAGTTCAGAAAATCCCCAGGCTGGAATCATTCAAATTACTCTAGTAAAGGTGTATAAACTTTAAAAAACACAGTGGAGCTTTTCCTGTATTACCATGTTTTCAGTTTAAGAGAAGAACTATCATTTTTGCAGTTCTATGAAGAGCTGCTGTACCTTATTTCACCACTAGATGGAGTGTTGAGCTACTGGAAGATGCTTGTGCAATGGCCTAGTACCATTTGCTTTTAAGTACAGTGAGGGCTTGCAATTTTATTTAGAATATAACTACAAAACTGATTCAAAGATTGTATAGGAAGCAACTTAACAAATAAATTAACAAACCAATGATTAAAAAACTGTCAGTAACATTTTTCTTTTCTATATTTTGAGGAAGTCTGAACAGATAGATACGGAATTGATATCAGTAAATCTGCAAAACCTCTTCCTGTCTGGTAGTTATCAGGTTATTATATGGTGCGATGAGATGAAATATACCAACTCAGTCAAATTAAAGGCCCCATATTATGCTATTTTCTGATCTATGTTATAAAGTTTTCTCATGACAAACAGACCTGGAGTTGTGTTTTGTTTCATTCACACATTTAACACAGAAAACCTGCACATTTTTGTTCGAATTGCAACTCATTCTATGCCACCAACATCGTCTGCTCATTTATTCAACAAACTTAACATTCTTAATATTTCTGAGATGAATATTTATCAGATTTTTGTATCTTTACGTATACAATTATTTACGATTCAACGACGATCCTCAAACATTTCACATTTTATTTTAAAACCAATGCAGAGATTCATAGATACAAAACTCGTCACAATCGTAATTTACATTTGTTCCAAAACGTGTCAAATCAAGAGCTCAGTTTTGCCGACGATACCGAGGCTGTAATTTCTGGAGCAGTTTTCACATCTGGTTAGTGACGGCAGATCAGAGGCGATGTTTAAAAAGAGTTTGAGGAAATGTCTAATATTTCATGGTGACATTTGATAATCTTTCAATTGTGGATGTTTCATTGTGTTTTAATCCATGTTTGAATCAAATGAATTTAATCCATGGTGTCTAAATGTAATTTTTTATATATATATTTTTTCTGCACAGCGATAATGTTCAATTTTTAATGTATTCATATGGTGCAGGCCCTTTTGGGGTTTTTTGCCTCTTCCAGCACCTACTTTTTTTATCTAGTGTGTTTTTTGTTTTGTTTTTATTGTTATGCTATATGTGCAAAATAAATAAATAAATAATTCTCAAACAGAAAACACTCAAATTTGTGATGTCTTGTGGTCATACAGGAAGTTTGCAAACTCCTTTGGATAATTTCAGTGCTGGAAATGTCAATCTCTACTGAACTAAAGGTAAAATGTAGCTGTGTAAATTTGAAAACTACCACTATGTGACATCACAAAGTGGAACTGAGCATGTAGAGCTTTGGAGATGTAGACAAACTAATAAAACACTATTCAAACATGTGTGAATGAAACAAAACACAACTCCAGCTCTGTTTTTGATGAGTTAACAACATTATAACATGAATTAAAGCTCACAAAAGTACATTTTAAGTAACGTAGCTCCTTTAATTCTGATTTATCTGATTTCTGACATGTTAAATAACCGTATTTTCAAGTATTCTGAAGAGACTAAATATCTGAAATTGTGTGTAACATCTAGTTATCTGCCAGTACTAATGCCTATCTTACAATTCAGTAATTTATGTAGAGAAAATACTCTTTATCTCTGTCTAATCAACGATGAAAATACTAATTGTGACTAACATATTCCATTTTCATTCATGAGCAAGTATTCCGAATAGTCTGTAACTGCGCGAAACCTCTTGTGTGTCTAGCTGTTCTCCGATGTCACGACAGAGAGCAGTTCGCAGCAGTCTTTCTCTTCCCTATGTGGGACATTCAGTCAATAATTCAGAGACCTGTGGCTTTAATTATGGAAAACTGAACCTAAAACCTTACCTTGACACCATCGGGCGGGTTGTGCACCACTGTGCTCTGCGATTCCTGGGATGAAGAGCAATGATTAGTCTAAAAAAACAACATTTCAAGGGGTTATAATGAGGCTTTGAATGTGCAAATGAGGTGAGGCATTATTCTATGTATTTTTCTACGTTTTGTTTTGCTAAAGATCTAATTCACAACTTGTGTTAAAAGGACATTGCAGCGTTGGATTTTGTGGGTTTTGCGTAATTCTCTAAGACAAAACTGTTTTAAGGTGCATTGTGTAGTTTCAAATGCTTTACTGCTTTGTCTGGAATGTTTCACAGTGTGGCATTAAACCTTTCTATCTTCATGGAGACCAAACCAGACCAAGTTACAGGTCAGATCTGTGGAGAGACGACCCGCTAACACTCAGAATATCTGTCTTTCTTGGTATTTTTGAGCAATAAAACCACTTGTAATTGAATAAATTTAAGGCAGATCTGTTTAATGTCATACTACGGAACATTCCGGGCAGAGCAACGACATCTCCATAGAAACAAGGAGGCGACTGAGCCCAAACCAAAAAGTTACGCAATGCACCTTGAAGTTGTAATGATTATGAAACCAAAATTAAAAGGTGCAGTATGTAACTTTTCTGGCGTGCATGGAGATATTCTAGGAAGTTTGCTTCTCCCTAGAATGTACCACAGTATGGCATTAAACTTGCTTATTATTTAATTACAGGTGTTTTTTTTTTTTTTACTAAAACACTAAAACCTTGAAAAATTACTATAAACTGGCCCACCTCTCCACAAATCTGACCTGTAAAATAAACTGGCTTGGCGCTTGTTTCCATGGAAACAGATAAGTTTAATATGAATAATACTGTGAAAAATACCAGGCAAAGCAACAACATCCCTCCACCTGCAAGACCCTCCACCTGGAAAGTTACATAATGCACCTTAAACATTATAAATGAGAAAATTGTCCTGATCTTACTGGTAGAAGAAATAAAGGTTTAAGAAGATAAAATTATGTCATAATTTATAATATCCCAAGTCAGGAGTGGGCAAACTTTTTGACTCGTGGGCCACAAAAGGTTCTAAAATTTGATGCATGGGCCGGATCAGGAGCAGATGGATGGAGTCTTTTTGGTAATCCACCTCATAAGAGAAAAAAAATACCATGGGATATGTAGAAAACGTAGCCCATGTTATTGAAATATCCCATAATTGAAAATTATTACAACAAAATATCTGTTTTTCAAGTCTCACGGTATTTACTATTTATTGAAATTACTTTTAAAACACTAATAATAATAATAATAATGATACTAATAATAATAATAATAATAGTAGTAGTAGAAATAGTAATAGTAGTAGTAATAGTAATAATAGTAATAGTAGTTATGGTAGTAATAGTAATAGTAGTAACAGTAGTAGTAGTAATAGTAATAGTAGTAGTAATAGTGATAGTAGTAATAGTAATAATAGTAATAATAACAGTAGTAATAGTAGTAGCAGCAGTAGTAGTAGTAATAGTAGTAGTAGTAGTAGTAGTAGTAGTAGTAATAGTAATAGTAGTAATAGTAATAATAACAGTAGTAATAGTAATAGTAGTAATAGTAATAGTAGTAATAATAGTAATAGTAACAGTAGTAAAGTAGTAATAGTAGTAGTAGTAGTAATAGTAGTAATAGTAGTAATAGTAATAATAGTAATAATTGTAGTAATAGTAGTAATAGTAATAATAGCAGTAGTAATAGTAGTAGTAGTAATAGTAATAGTAGTAGTAATAGTAATAGTAGTAATAGTAATAATAACAGCAGTAATAGTAGTAATAGTAGTAGTAGTAGTAGTAGTACTAGTAATAGTTGTAATAGTAATAATAGTAGTAATAGTAATAATTGTAGTAACAATAGTAATAGCAGTAGTAGTAATAGTAGTAGTTGTTGTTGTTAATAATTATTATTTGTTTTTATTTTTTATTCAATTGTATTTGTATAGTTTTTTTTAATTATCATTTTTATCATTATTATTAAAGTTCAGAGGGCCAGATTAAAAACATTAAAGGGCCGAATATGGCACCTGGGCCGTCGTTTGCCCACCCCTGTCTCAAGTCTTCAAGATTTTTTGACTATCCGTGGGTTTCAGAATGATGAAAAATTTAGGCCGTTGCTATAGCGATAAAAAATTTAGAACAAATTTGAATGGTGAATAGTCTTCAAAATGTCACCTAGAACAAGAAGCTGAATCTACATATCTATATCACATTTCTGATCTAATTTATTTCATTAAAGCAGTTCTTTATTTTGCCATTTAACATCAGAGTAATTACACGTAGGATTCTTATTTCTTACGCGTATCGTTTTACATTTCAATCAGATTTCCCTGCTTATAAAATTCCACCAATTATCCTGCTGCGAAATCTATAGTCGGGATTAATTGCAAAACCCATTATTATTACCGACAACCCTTTTTGACAAGGTAAACAAGAGCGGTGTTTGGAAACCGGACACCTCATTTCAGCCAAAGTTGATTTAGCACTAATCAAATTGCGAAAACTGGCATCGCGCTGCAACCCTTTTCACACAGGATGTAATTGGACCACTACACGGTATTGAGTAATGCATGCTAGTGAGAGCTTTCAAACCACAACAACATGCTAGTAATGGACCATCCGCGGAGCCCGGGAGGAGGCGATGGAGGGGGTTAGTGATGGCGAGGATGGAAGGTGAGAGCGAGTTTTATGTTAGTGGAAAATAAAAGGCTGAGAGAGAGAAAAAAAAACTGAAATTTCAACAATTACTGGACTTACATCATAATAAAAGCAACGGGAGTTTTAGCGATGGTTTTTAAAGGTGCACTTTGAGTTGATTATTTCACAGTAGGGAAATAAGCTTTGTAATCACAATGGCGACAGGTTAATGGTCGGTTCTATGGAGAAGCGAGCCTCCAAATGGAAAGAAATCATGTTTTTTAAGGTGTTTTTAATAGGGATGTAACAATATCCAAATCTCTAGGTACGATATTATCACGATATGCATGTCAATAAGGGTATATCGTATCGTTTAAATGTGACGATACAGTATCTATATCATGGGCTGCTGTACCGATATATCGGCAAGAGTATTTTTTTGGTGCATTTTACTAAATTATTTTGTTACAGAGCTACAGTTTTGTTGCTTGTTTAGTGGAAGAAAACTCATTTATGCGACAAATTTGACATTTTCACTGTTCTGATGACTAAAATTGGCTTTTTTCATATGAACTTTGCACAAGAAGTGGTTTAACAAAGACTTTTGGTATAACAGCCATGATTTAGCCTTTATTTTTTATTGAACTGTATCGAATCGTTTTGATATATATCGTATCAAATCGAAAGTGCACTGTATCGAGATATGTATTGTATCGTGGCCTATGTATCGAGGTATGTATCGTATCGGCAACATCTCATGGTACAATATTTATTGTGATTTTGTTTTCAAGAGGCTTATATAATTGTAGATAGGGCATGTTTCTGCTTTTAAAAATACCTTTACAAGATTTTGGTGACAGTTATTTCCATCATAATCCCAAGAATTCAAGTCAAAAACATATTTATTCATGTTGTCTGCACTGAAATGAATCATGGGATATGTAGTTCCTCATGTTTATAAGCTGTTGCTACTATAAAACCTGCATGCATTTAAGCAAAAAAACTTGTAATTCGATATATTGTGACAGCCCACGAGATTATTGCGAGATTTTGACGATACAATATCACGACATTTCGGTTCACGGAAAGAAATAACATCTCATTCTCATTACATCATTACATAGTGCACCTTTAAATGTATTAAATTACTGTATTGTACTTTAAATGTACTGAAAATATTACAGAAAATCCATATTAAACTTTTGTAACAGCCATTAATGAATAAATGGTTAAGCAAGTTATGGTTATCAAGGGTTAACTTTGCTTAGTAGTTAGACAGAGAATGATAATGAATGTTAATAAAATGCTTAGATAATATTTACTTTATTTTATTGGACACTAGTTTCTTGAAGTATTGATAAATCTCAGTACAGCTAGTTCATTCAGTTCTGTTATATTAAGTATTCTAATTCAGAAGGACCTAATATTTGAAAAGGAGTACCACAAGGCTCCAAACTAGGACCATTACTATTCATATTTTTTTTAAATAATTTGTCATTTTGCGGCAATATTTTTATACTCATTTTATACATTTTATAGACATTATTGTATTGTATTGCATTATTATTATAAAAACATTTTCAAACTTATTAATGTACTAGTCCTTCAGTTAAAATATTAACATGCACAAATTGTAAACTGTAACACCAATTTACAAGGTGTTTTTTGGGAACTTTGGCTTCACCCTACCCCAGATTTTATTAAATATATTATGTAAACAAATTGGTCAGCCATTATGCCACAAGTTCAGTCCAGTAATTCATGTTTCGGTAAAAAGCTGTTGATGTAAAAAAGAGGTTAGTAAAAAACACCACAAAACCAAGTCATACAATAATGAAACTAAACCAGAAAATGCTAGAACTAAGTCACTTTAATGGCAATATGATCATGCTTCCTTGGGGACAGGACAAGGTAGACATGTGCACCATGTGAGTTTGATAAAATTTTCAAACATAACTGGGATACGCATGTGAACCTTTGGGGGATGAATGGAACTAACGGGGGTAAATTTACTTCTAGATGATACACAAGCGACTAAATGACAATGAAGGACGATGGTCTAAGATGCAGCTATGGGGGTAAAGCTTTTCGGAGGGCAGTCGGACGAGGTTTTTACTGTACCATCTGGGCGTTGGCGGTGGTATCTTTCAGGGCATTGATGGCGCTCACTATACTGTTCTTAGTGTTGTTGGTAGAAGGCTGGGGCAAGAAAGTCAAAAATATTAAACTTAAATGTCTACAGGACAGGGCTCACAGGGTTCAGTACTGCTAAAAGTATTCTTAAATAAACAGGGGGAGTTTAATCCGTGTGTCATTCGTTCATTTGTTTTTCCATATGAAACCAAAAATAAGAAAATGAAAAAATAACTGTTTTCTTCATTATTTATCTAAAATGAAAAAAAAAAAAGGATAATGATTCGTTTTTTCATTTTTTGATTTTGTGTTTAAATCAATAATGGCCGTTTCTCTGACTTAAACTGTGATGAGACTTTTGCGTCACATATGGACTAAACCAGGACTGAACCAGGACTAAACCAGGACCAAAACAGGACCAAAACAGGACTAAAAAAGGACTAAAACAGGACTAAAACAGGACTGAACAGGTCTAAACCAGCTCTAAACCAGAATTGAACCAGGACTAAACCAGGTCTCACTCCTGGTCTGACTCCCATTCTCAGTCCTGGTATCAGTCTCAGTCCCGGTCTGGTCCTGGATTCCTGATCACCTGACAGTCTATGAGGGCCCGATACTCCCGAGTCCCGATACTCCTGGTTTAGTTCTGGTGTAGTCCTGGTGTAGTCTTGGTGTAGTCCTGGTTCAGTCCTGGTTCAGTCCTGGTTCAGTCCTGGTTCAGTCCAGGTTGAGTTCAGGTTTAGGACTGAGACCGGACCAGGACCGGGACTGAGACTATGACAGAGACCAGTTTAGACCTGGTTTAGACCTGGTTTAAACCTGGTTTAGACCTGGTTTAGACCTGGTTTAGACCTGGTTTAGACCTGGTTCCTGGTTCAGTCAGTCCTGGTTCAGTCCTGGTTCAGTCCAGGTTGAGTTCAGGTTTAGGACTGAGACCGGACCAGGACCGGGACTGAGACTATGACAGAGACCAGTTTAGACCTGGTTTAGACCTGGTTTAAACCTGGTTTAGACCTGGTTTAGACCTGGTTCAGTCCTGGTTCAGTCCTGGTTCAGTCCGGCATCACAGTTTAAGTCTTGGAAACAGGAAACAGTCGTTATCCGTTTTTTTCCATTATTCATTTAAACACAAAATCGAAAACTGAAAAAAACAAATTGTGTTCTGTTTTTTCATTTTGGTTTTGGAAACAAATAATGAAGAAAATAGTTGTTTTTTCGTTTTCCTATTTTTGGTTTTATATTGAAAAACAAATGAACGAATGATACACGGACTGGATTTTGTTCATAAGCTGACTACTATGCAAACCTCATAAAAACAAGTCTTATCCACAGTTTTCAGGCAAATGATTCCTACCTGATTTGAAGAATTTTGTACAGATCTTTCCGCATTGTAAAGATAATGATTTTAATTGAGTTATTGCTATGAAAACGGTGGACCATGCCAAATCCTTCAAATCAGAAAAGGAATCTTTATCCCTGAAACCTACGAATACACCAAATTTCTGTTTTTTAAATAACTCCACGCTACATGCTGTTGGCTAATTGAATATAATTATAACTGAAAAGCCCATTTATTTCAAAAAATAAAGTATACATTTGTTTGAATTGACATAATTATGATTTAAAATGTATAGAAACCAATAGTATTATCAAATTTCAGATTTTAACATTTCAATTTGTTTAAAAATAAATGAATAGATACAAAACAAGAAGACACACAGCCCTAACTTGTTTAAGTACCGTATTTTTCGGACTATAAGGCGCACCAGATTATACAGTGCAATATCAGTAATGTTGAATTCTCTCGTCTATTTTCATAAACAAAATGAATCAAACAGACGACACTTGAGACTGATCCTTTGCCCAGGCGTCCACGATCCATTTGCAGATCATGATGTAATTCGCCCGGTGTTGCCTCTCTGTCTTGGTGAATGTGGATTATGAATGTGAATGTGGGTGGATCATTTAAATTTGGCTTTTTATTTTCTATGAGGAAGACTCAAATATACATTGAGTTATAATGTGTTTAATGCAGCTTTGTTTAAGTTTAACAGAAATAAAACTTAAAACCACATGGCTCATTTGCATAAACGATAAGCTCTGAAAAAAACTGCTCGCTCCTTGTGCTCTGATGCGGTTCAGCTTCTGTCGGACTAAAGGACCATAAATTGGGCTTTACTCCGTGAGGTTTCTGACTACAATAGCCCTAATGCTCCGACAATCCATCAAGCGGTGCGGGTTCGTAGTTTACCAAACTCGTACTAAAACATTTTGACAGATTTTTGAGCGCTTTGTACCACATAAAATCGGTTCAAGGTCAGTAAGCACAACCAGAATAAATACATAAGGCATTCTGTCAATTTTTGAGAAATTTTAAAGATTTTAAGTGCGCCTTGTAGTCCGAAAAATACGGTAATCAATTGCCGTACACCACATTGTATTAACTTAATGTGCTAATCCCTTGTAAACATCTCCTAGATTTACCTTTTGCTTTGATAGGTCACAGTGGTTCTAATACGTACAATAAATTCAAACTTTATCAATGTCGTAACACATGATTACGAAATATATTTTTTTCCTCCCTTTTATGCAGTCTTCTTACAGCCATTAGCCATCCACGCCTTTCAGAGACCTGGTAGCTGTTGGCATTGTTGGCGGTAGCTCCCAGACTACTGCGATCTAAGCGTCTAAACGACAAAGTGCAAGCTACAGAAAGGGCTGTAGATCTTCCTTTTTACTGCCTGGCTAACTCTCTATGCCTCTTGCCACTTAGCAGCAACAGAGGGACCCCTGGGGCAGTGGAGATTGTGAGGGAGGAGTGCTTAATAGCTACAGAGAATGAAGGACACTGCTCGTAAAAGAAAAAAAAAAAAAAAAAAAGACCCAGCCAAAGGGAATGGGCTAAATATTAACAAGTGGCTTTAGTGGGAATAAAAGAAAAGGGAGTTTAAGAGTTTATGTGCTTCTTATGTCATCAGCCATTAAAGGTTAAAATCAACACAATATATGCGCTACGCCATGGTTACACAAGGGCAGCTCCCCGGGATAACCATGGATTTATTCAGCTAATTTCACTGGAAGAGACAGTTAGAGGGAGAGGAGATGGGCAAGGGTTGGCTCTGTTCAGACGAGGCAGGGTACAGTGTCGTTTTAACATTTGTAAATCCTGTTTTTTCAATCCTGAAATCCGTGTTCTGGATACAATACAAAATGAGATAAATGAGACACAATTTTGTTAATAGAATGTTAATGCGTATTTGTTGGCTCTTTTCTGGAATAGGCAACATTATATAGAGCAATATTTACAATTTAAATAAGCCAAACGTAGTGGAACTTAAGGTGGACTATGTAAACTTTTTGGTGGAGGGTCTGTCGCCAGCCTGTTGCCATGGAGATGTTCCAGAGTAAGGCATTAAATGGTGTTTGCCTCCATGAAAGCGAAAGCTTGGAGACATGGGTCTGATCTCGTAGTAGAATAGATAGACTTTTTCACAACGGCCGGAAGTGCCGCGATGTAGGGTAAAAACGTCACTTCTGGTTAATGGTTTTCTCCGGCAAAATATCTGTGGAAATGTCTCGTGTATTTTCCACCAGCTTCATAAATCTGCCACATAATCCAACAAAGGTCGACATAGGATAAACATTCTACCATGAAGATTTTATCCACAAGTATCAAGGTAAGAAAGATGAAAACTTAAAGGTGAACAACAAGCAAAACTAATGTTATGGTCATGAATAAAACATAAGTAACTTGTTCATTCAGACTGATACTAGATTTAAAATTAAAAATCGATTTCATGAAGTAGATATTGACATAGACAGAAAGATTGGTGCAGTTTAAATGCAAGACATGTCATCTGTGAACATCTGTAACATTCGAACTGCACAAATCTCTGTCTATGCAAATATCTACATCATGAAATTGATTTTTTATTTTAATTCTAGAATCAGTCTGAGTTCACAAGGTTCTAGGGATGTAACGATATCCAAATCTCTCGATACAATATTATCACGATATACATCTCACGGTACGATATTTATTGCAATATTTTGGAGAGGCTGATATAACTGTAGATAGGACACTTTTTTGCTTTTAAAATACTCAGACAAGAATATGGTGTGAATTATTACTGCTATAATTACAAGAAATCAAGTAAAAAACATAACGTGATCATGTCTGCACTGAAATGAATAATTGAATATGTAGTTCCTGATGTTTATTAGCTATTGCTACTATAAAACAATGCATTTAAGCAAAAAAACTTGTAATTCGATATATTGTGACGGCCCACGTTATTATTGTGAGACTTTTGACGATACAATATCAGGATATTTCGGTTATTGTCACATCCCTACAAGGTACTTATTAATGAATTTCTCATTACTTATGTTTTATTCATTACTGTAATGTTAGTTTTGCTCAGGAGTGGTTCATTAATGCATCACCATCATTCGCTTTTACTTTTTCGTCTTTCTCACCTTGATAGTTGTGGATAAATTCTTCACGGACAGAATACGTTCTTTGTCGACCTTGTTGGTTGAAAATTTGGTGATGGGGCAGATTTATGAAGCTGGTGGAAAATACGCAAGACATTTCCACAGATATTTTGCCGTATAAAAGCATTAACCGGAAGTGATGTTTACCCTACATCGCGACACTACACTAGATATTGTGAAAAAAAGCCATGTCATTATGTTTTTTAGCGATAACATTACCTATAACTAATGCAATATTGTGGAACATTCCAGGCAGAGTAATAACACGTCCATGGAAACGAGCTACAGTTACAGAGTTCTCACAGGGTCTTCTTAAAAATGTTGTTATTTGTAAGTTTTTGGGAGCATTTTCTAATCACAATTTGGAACAATTTTTGTTCGCCTCCTGAAAAAGCTGAGCGAAAATGTTAAAAATAAGAAATCGTGACTGGTTAAAGAGGATGTTTTTCGCCTCGCACAAAGTCCTCCAATAAGATCACATTTATATGGGCCATTTAATCATACTTGACGGACACCTGAATATAAACTTCACAGGAACATTTTTAATCCATTCAGAAATCTTCAATAAAAAAAAACACCTCTTTCTTGTAACAGAGGCTAATGGGGCAGGCTGCAGTGATGATGAAACACGACGCATGTTCTGGTCATTTGTGGTCTAGCATTAATCTAATTTGGACAATTTGGCCCGAGACGTGTCACTTGTACAAGCTGTACTTTAGCTGAAAAACAAATTAATTCAGCAGCAGATTTCTGACATTTTTAGCTCGGGATTTGTCAAAAGTGCCCCTGTTTTGGTTCTGTCTCTTTGTACACATCTTTAGAGCTGTAGACATTTTGAATATAGAAATTTAAAGAACGTAAAAGGTGCGTGGTGTAAGTTTTCTGGTGGAGAATGTTCCGCAGTATGACATTAAACAGCTTTACCATACATTTATCCAATTACAGGTGGTTTTATAGCTCAAAAATACTTAGAAAAACAGATATTCTGACTGGGAGCGGGGTCGCCTCTCCACAGATCTGACTTGTAACTTTAACCGTCTAGTTTGGGCTGCATGAAGATAGAAACGTTTAAAGCCACACTGAAATATTCCAGACAAAGCAATAACATTTCTAGGGAGAAAAGCATTTGACAAACCGTCCACCAGAAAAGTTACACAATGCAGAAATTATTAAATATATTTTTGGGCTTTTCTGTGCATTTTAAACTCTTTACTATTTATTAACTATTTATTAATTTAACAATCAAGACATAATTTTATGCGTGTATTAAAAAATATAAATATAACCTGTCAGAACTCCACTTAAAAAGGCCCTACCTGGATCGGAAATCAAACCCTGAACCTTCTATTTATGGGGCAAGAGCAGTAGCCACTGTGCCGCCATAGAAACTAATATGTTGTGTATTGAAACCGGAACTTATTTGCATTTTTACCGCGTGGGCACATTGGAAAAGCGGCCTATAAAATTGAGCCTGTCCTGATTAGATGGAACATATGGCGATTCAGCTTCAGGCAAATTGGGTTGACCCCATTCATTTAAAGGTGCACTGCGGAATGTTTCTAGTGGATGGTCTGCCACCTGCTCGTCTCCATGGACATGTTATTGCTTTGTCTAGAATGTTCCACAGTATAGATTAAACCTATCCATCTTGCTGTTAACGGGGTTCCCACTCTTTTTCACTGACAAAATTTCAAAACTTTTCCATTACTTTTTCTTTTGGGCCGTGCCGTACTCAGGCGCTGTTACCTGTTCACACCTGTGCAGCCACTGGTGTCGTTCGCATGTTGCGCAACGAAGTTTGTGAGCTTTTGGCGGGGAGGGTGGGAAAAGAGGCCTGAAGTGTCTATTGAGTGGTGGGACCGATGTTGCGGTGCCCACTCTGCTGTTTGCGGTGTGGTGGCGGTGCGGGGGAGGAGAGGCTGTGAGGTTTCTGTCATCTCGTTTTTATTTGGTAAGATTTTGTATTATTTGGAGATCATAGACGAGCCTAAATGTTTTAAATGTAATGCACAGGCAAACATATAATATCAAATATACAAACTGTAGATTGTGCAGAGTCGAGTCTCAGGGTCTGACCTGATTTGATTCTGGTCTGGTTCCTGTTTTGTCCAGTTCATTAAGTTTACCAAGTTACACATTCCAAGACCAGACTGTGAAAAGTTGTCAGACTGTGACAAGATTTTCAACAATGATGATGAATGGTTAGAAAAGTTAATAAAATTTAAGTTTTGGACATTTGATTTTTCATACTAAGTTCAGCCCAAATACTACACATGAAATCATCACAATCTGATCTCCCCATACGTCCTGGATCTTATTCTTTGCTCTTAGTTCATTTCATAATTTTTATAGAAGTATCGGGTCGGGACTCGATATCGGCAGATACTCAAAATCAAATGACTCAGACTGGGACATCCCTACCAGTTAGCCCCGTTAGTGGCGCATTACATAGGTCACGACCATACAGCAGTGATTGGTTACCTAAAAAAATGACCTGCTTACTGTCGAGTAAACAAATTCTAATGCTGCGAGGTCAGACGGTTTCTACGAAGTGAAACCGGCTGATGAATCTAGACTAGTTTTAAATGTGCTATACAAATAAATTAGATTTGATTTTATCATGATGGAAACAAGCACACTACATTAGCACTACGCTACATTACAAGTCAGATCTGTGGAGAGTCGCGCCAACTCACAGAAGAAATGAATGTATTTTTGAGCAACAGACACACTCATAATGAATAAATACTAGTTGGATATGCTTAATGTGATGCCATGAAACATTCTAGGCGACGCAATAATATCGGAGAAAAGCAGGTGGCAGACCCTCCACCCGAAAAGTTACACAATGCAGCTTTAACGCCACGTCTGAACAGAGCATTGGGAGTTTTGAGTATAGAGGGAGCTAGATAAAATTACTCTAAAAACCTTACCTTAGCAGAGTCGGACTTCTTGTTGAGTAAACTTTTGCATGCTGAAAATATATAAATAAAAGAGGATAGAAAGGGAGAAAGTATTTTATTATTAACAAAACAGTCGGCAAATAGTTTCATAAAAGGTAAAAAAACCCAAAACGAAACATCTACTAGTATATACGTCAGAAAAAATGACATGCACTTTAATGATTTTTCCTCACTGCGTCTACATGCTCCCAAACACTGCAAAAAAACACGTACTTTTTAATGCGTTTGTAGTCTACGGGGAATAAGCTGTAAAGTAAACTCCAAAGGTATTTCCTGTCTATAGAGGACCCCGCTAGATGTAGTCTAGTTGCACTGACGCTAGGTTAATGTACCCCATTGATTTCCTATACGGGATGTAGTCACTTTTGCTTTCACTCTACAACTGTTAACGTTAAGTGTTCCTCCTTCCTCTTCGCCTCGCTACCAACGCGCGCCCACACAAAATCGTTAACGCTCTGGGATTTTTTTTTGTTTTGTTTTCTCTTACCTGAAAATTAGAAAAAAGTACAGAAAAAGTACGGAGAAAAGGGGTTGGGGAGGTTAGGGAGGAGAATGCTTTCAAGGGTTTTAATACAAACGACGTAAAGGGCACAGAAAGCAGCTAACTATAGACCCAGTGTTAAAAAAATGATTAGCAATATTAAAAAATTAAATGATTGTATTTTTTTTAAGGCAAGCTGGTAAACTAAAACCTAAAAAATATGAGATAACAAAGGAGTATATATAACTAACAAATTTACTGAAGTTTTAAAGTTAAAATACCGACAAAATGACTAGTTTAGCCTAAAATGTTAGCATGTAGCATTTAGCTTGCGATGCTAATTAGCCACATAGCCACTTGCTAAAGTTAGCTACACAATCATTAGCAGTGCCATTTAATAAATAATAATAAATAATATAAGATTGTGTAATAATTCCGACATTGGCTATTGATAATTTGATAAATATAGTAACAAACTTATTTTTAGTCAGCCATTTTGTTTACAAACACTAAAAAAGGTCTATATCAACTGCCGACTCATGCTCCTTTCGTCATTTTTCGTGTTCAAATCGTAGCAGCTTTTGGGCCTGGCCATGCAGCATCCAAAGGAAAAAGTCCAAAAAAACAAAGAAATTATGAAATTCTTTAAAATTAGAAAAAGAAATTGCTGGTTTCTTTTTTTTTTTTTTTTTTTTTTTAAAGGTGCGAAACATCCTCTGGTCATAAACCGATCAGCCTTGAAGTGCCAAAAGTGACAGCGAGAGACAACATTCATATGCTTTCTAATGTCTTTTAAATCATTAAAGTTTAAATTTTTACCCATTTTGTATATAATAAAAGTTCCATTGGGTTAAAATTAAGTTAAAGTTATTGAAAAAATGGTAATTGTATAGTAAAGGAATAGATAAATTGTAAATACAGATGGCAGTTTCCAAAAAAAATGATTAAAATATTTCTAAAAACATAATTTTCACCAAAGTACTTAAAAGTTACATCTCTAATACACTTGTTGTTGATTGTACAATAGTGTGTACAGTTTCTATCCTGTGTAAATTAACTTCCAATTGGCTAAGAGCGGATAGGAACTAGTACTTCCTGCATAGATCACTAGTTAATTTATGAATTCTAAAAGCCATTGAGTAATTAGAAAGCATTTGAAAGTCTCCGAACGAAACAAGATTGTACCACACAGGACACCCACATGCGAAAAGGGAGCAAGGCACATAAAAAAACCTCAAAACTTCTTCACACTTCTTTGCTCTAAATGTAAAAAAAATATATATTAAAAAGAAAAAATATTGGGGTCAAACATCAGGAGCAAACTGCCAAGCCTTGCCTCAGCCAACTCTGGAGGAAGGTGCAGAGAAGCAGATCACGAAAGTGCAAAAGTGGTTGGTTTAAAGGTCCGATATTACGCGAATTGACTCTTGTGAGGTTTAAGTCGCGTTATAATGTTGTTACCTCGTCAAAAACAGACCTGGAGTAGTGTTTTGTTTCATTCACACATGTTTGCGTAAGAATATTATGGGTTTGTCGACATCTCCAAAGCTCAAAATGTTGACTTATACGTGTGAATGAAACAAAACGCAACTCCAGGTATGTTCACGATGAGAAAACGACATTATAAACGATCAGAAAACAGCGTAATATGGGCTCTTTAAGTGGACATCATCCCAGCGCTAAAAGCCATAAACCAAGCGGGACAATGCTTTGGAAAAATAATGAGAAAACAGCTAAGGAATTAACCCATTTTTGAGTGATAATGATAAAAAACGCCACACAATATTTACAATAAGAACTTACTGGTCCAGTGTCAGTGAGGGGAGCCCATTACTGCAGGGCTATAGCTGATCGTCACCACATTCAAATCTCCACTCAAAATTCACACATGCTACTACTACTACGTAAAAATTTGGGGTTTTCGAAGTAGATTCGCGTTGGCTTCTTGTACATAAACGTTGAACAAGTCGTCAATGTGCAGTTAGCAAAGGCTTGGCTGCTTCGAAATCTCCAAATCCAGTATTTTTTTGTTTTTTTTATCTTTTTAATGGGGGTTGTTTTCTAACTGGGGAACACAGGAGAGCAGCGCAAGATTCCCCATTTGAAGTCAACGGGGAAGTCAGCCTGCTCTCAAACTGTGAAGAACTACAACATCCAAGGAGCCACCGTAGGAATCGCCGACCTTACCCACCCGCTCCCACCCCAGGAAGCAAGACCGTCAAGACCGTAACTCTGTCATCATGAAAACATTTCTTTAAAAGTTTTGAATACTTTTTGAGACAATGTTTACACTAATGTTTTGCCATTATAAAATAAGACTATGAGTTTGGGTACCTACGCATACAGATAAAACAGTATTTAAAGGTGTAAATGTATTATTTTTATGGAGATAAGCAGCTGACGCCATAAAGAAAATTGTGTAGTAAGATTACAACAATTTGACAAAAAACATCTCTGAAGTTTAAGAATACTAAAATATACTACTACTACAACTACAGCAACTACTACTACAACTAACTACTACTGATGACTACTACTACTACTGACTACAACGACTACTACTACTACTAACTGCAACTTCTACCACTACAACTTCTACAACTACAACTTCTACAACTACAACTTCTACAACTACAACTTCTACAACTACAACTTCTACAACTACAACTTCTACAACTACAACTTCTACAGCTACAACTACTACAACTGCTACAACTACTACAACAGCTACAACTACTACTACTACCAACTACTACTAACTACTACTGACGACTACTAATACTACTACTACCACTACAACTGCAACTTCTACTTCTTCTACTAACTACTACTACAACTGCTACTACTAATAATATACTATGTCAATTCAAATATAAGGGAATATAAATACAAGGGAAGTAAGTAAGAATTTCATAGTTTTAAATAGCTTTGAATCTTGAATATTTTTATGCTAAAAATACATTTAAAAATGCTTAAAACTCATTAGTGTAAACAAAGACTGCAAGTGTCCAATCAAAATCATGCAGCCGAGACATAAGACAACAATAACTTCCTTTGAAACCATAAGAAAGTCACGGTAATGTCCCATATTGTCTCAACGGCGTCACCTTCACAACACCATGGACCCCACCCATCCCCACCCAAAAAAACCCCACACCCAGGTCAGACGATGGCAGCACGCCAACCCAGCTCTTGCCAGCCCCCTGCAGAGTCAGTCCCCGCCCCTGAGATACAAGCCCCTCCTCTTCCCCCTGGCCCAGTGCGCCCTATGCCCCGCCCGCCAGCGCCGCCGAGGCCGGGGCAGAGCATAGAGCCGATAGAGGGGCAGAAGAAGTCAAGGTGATATGGTGCGATGTATGTCATGTTTGTTTACGTGAGATTTAGGGCTGCACAATGAGGCTGCGAGAATAATGGACGAAATTAGTTGCCATTTTTTAAGTTTGTTTTTTTTCTATTTTTTATTTACGTTTACATACACATTTATATAATCATGCCTAATTTTACACTAATCTCTCGCTATTTTTGCTACTTATTTTGAATTTATTATCGCCATCTATGTTTTTTTTTTCTGTTTGTTATTATATTATATTGTCGTGTGAGCTACTGTGTCCAAATAATTTCCCTTGTGAATCAGTAAATCAGTCAAATTTGTCTAAGTTTAAGTCTAATTTCCTTCACTAACAACCAAATACAAGCTGCTAACCCTGGAGTTTAGATTTGTACAAATAAATTCTGAAATACACAGGATTCTTGTAGTATCAGTTTTTTTCCCATCAATTCATTTCGAAGTGCTTAAAATGTCAAATTTGAGCAGAATCCTACTTTTCAGACATAAATCGGAAATATTACCGCAATTTGCAAAACTTTTCATAAGGAAGCGCAACCAGATATTTTACCCAACTCTTTCAGACGTACTGCAGAATCCAAAGAAGTGCGCGGTAACCCATTGCAGTCGTATGAATTAGTATGTTAGCCAACTTTAAAAGCTTTCTTGGCATCGCTTCAGTGTCTTTAAGCATGTTTACTGGCATTACGAATAATTAATTTGTTGTAATAAACTTTTATAGCTTCCAACAACGTACACTTATTTTGTTCGTCAAGTACCCAGTGTTTCCCATAGATTTTGTTCAGAATGGGGTGGCACAAATACTTTCGAGATTCATAATTTTCTTTCATTCAACATTTCTGTGTGGTTACTTTTTACGTGAATAACAATACAAGAAGTAACTACGTGAGATTTAGTTATGGCATTGTTAATTTTAGTCTATGGGAGAGAATTTTTAATTATATGGGGGCGCCACCATAGTCTTCTGTATTCATGGGAAACACTATTGCCTTTTCAACCATAGCAATTTTAGTAATATACTCCAAATTAAAAACGCAATTTATGGTTTTAACTATAAACGTGCCATATATTGTGCAGCCCTTTGATTTTAAATGGGGAAATGAGTGATGCTGTGCGAATACTAAGTGGTAGCGGTAAATATAAGAAGCACTTTGTAATGTATTGATCGTCATTAAAACTATGATGTGAATGTGAAGACGTGCGGATAATGTCGCACTTTTGTCGGGATCTCGTAAATGGAAAATGCATGCATGTACAGTTACTACGTGTCTATGATGGTAATGCTGATAACAGGCTGCATGCAAAGAGACTGGGTCCTGTTGGACAAAAGGGGAACGGGCCGCCCCTTTGTGAAGAATGGTGTATGTATTTTAGGGCTGCACTATATCGAAAATAATTGCTGCCTCGAATAGGGCAATTTTTATTTTAAATTTAAGCAGTTTTCTATTAAGTTCTATCTATCTATATTTAAAATCTATTATTCTATTATATTAAGTTGTATTTATATTAAGCTACATTAAATTTAAATGCATATCTATTATCTATGTATTAATGAACCTGTGTCAAAATCGAAACTTTAAAATTAACTTTACTACTTTACTACACAAAATTTTAATGTAAAGTTAATTTACAAGTCCAGTTTCCAGATAATAGAAAGCTTAACCACATATATTCCTCTAGGTATTTTACTAGTTCGACCTAACAATTTCCATTAAATAATAAAGTATAACTTAAACTAAACTTAAAACTTATTTTTAGTTTAAACTAGGACTAATACGAAAATCAACTTTAAGTACTTTAAGCTACAACTCTTTTCCAGTTTAGACAATAAAAAATAAATAAATTATTAGGGCGATAAATAGCGCTGTTATCTTAATTTAGCATTATTAGCTTACATTATGCTAGCGATAATTAGCATTACTAGTGCTAGATAATACTACGCTAGCTCTAAGTTAGCATTTTTTAGCTTTTACTACACTAACAATGATTTAGCTTTGTTAAGCTTATTTTACACTAGTGATAATCTAGCATTATTAACTTTAATTACACTATACTCATAGTTTTGCATTGTGAGCTTATACCTCGCTAAAAACATTTCATCTTACATAATTATCTTACATTATGCTAGTGATAAATTAGCACGGTTAGGTTAGCCTACAATACGCTACTGATAATTTAGCGTTATTAGCTAATACATCTCTAATTCATCTTACATAATTATTTTACATTACAATAGCGCTAATTTAGCATTATTAACATATATCATGCTAACATTAATTTAGCATTGTTAGCTTATACTCCGCTAACTATAATTCATATTACATAATTATTTTACGCTACACTAGCACTAATTTAGCATTATTTGTTTATACCACTCTAACATTAATTTAGTGTTGTTAGCTTATATCCCGCTAACAATTTATCTCACATAATTTTTTACGCTACAATAGCACAAATTTACCATTATTAGTTTAAACCACGCTAACAATAATTTAGCGTTTAGTTTATACACTGCTAACAATAATTCATGTTACATAATTATTTTACGCTAAACTAGCACTAATTTAGCATTATTAGTTTATACCACGCTAACAATAATTAATCTTACATAATTATTTTATGCAACACTAGCACTAATTTAGCATTATTAGTTTATACTATGTTGACATTAATTTAGCATTGTTAGCTTATGTGCTGCTAACAATAATTCATCTTACATAATAATTTTTTACGCTACACTAGCACTAATTTTGCATTATCAATTTATACCACGCTAACATAGATTTAGCGTTGTTAGCGTCTATTCCGCTCCTTTCTGTGCATACAGTGCAGCCCCGTGTTGGTGATAGAGGAGTGGATGGGCGTGTCTCTTGGACGTACCTTCCTGAGCCAGTGAGGCGGTGGAGGAGGCGGCAGCAGCAGAGTTGGTATGCTGCCGGCCCACTATTGGACAGAAATGCTACAGTTGGGAGGGGCTATACAGATAGTTCAGGTGTACCTCGGTCATTTTTTGGTTTTGTTTTGATTTTAACCGAGGGCCTAGAAAGTCACGGGAAGTGCTGCTCCAGCCCGAATGCATCGCGCGAGTTAAGGACGGCGAAAAGACTGGCTGCAAAAACACAACGTAGGAACAAAGCTATCCATGGGTTTGTGAAAAGTTAGAAAAACAAACAAAACCGCCTTCAGAATGTTGAAACCCATGAATTACAAGTTAGCTGTCAGTACAAGGGATTTTTTTTTCTTTGCATGACGGTTAATATTTAGATCTCAGTGCGTTTAAGAAATTTAGTTTTTCATATATATCTTTGACTATAACATCATAAATATGTATAATTCTCAATTCAAATGGGTTTGGGTTGTCGTGTTTTCAAATTTTCAAATATCCTTTTTGCAATACTATCAATCAAATTCTCTAAATTTCTGCAATTTGTAATGAATTTTGGGGGGATTTTGTATCTACAAGTAACTAAACAAAAGCAGGTCCAGTTCTATCTAACCTGCTGAATATGAGACGGCAGACATTTTAGGTTGGAAAATGTAAACAAATACAAAGTAAAGTAAAAATATTCAACCGTCTTCTGTCTGTACACAGGGGCGTTTGACTGGTGGGGGGTAAAGGGTACAGTTTACCCGGGGCCCAATGCAAGTAGGGGCCCCTCACAAAGTCTTCTAATTTGCATTTTACACACTGCAAAAAAGCTTAGCCAAAATTTAAGATATAAACACTTAAATCTATCAAAAAATGACTTAGAAGTAGTGAAATTATCTGTCCATGCAGCAAGATAATTTTACTTGAAAAGTTACAGGGTTCCCACTCTTTTCAAAACTTTTCCATGACTTTTTCATGACCTAAAGTGAATTTTCCATGACATGTGTAGAATTGATCATACTTTTAGGGCTAAATATGAAATTTTAACCCTTTCCACTCACCTTATGGTTTGGTTTTATAATTTTTTAACATTCACAATACTGTCAGTGCATTTATTGTCGTCTCTTTTAAACAAAAAGGCGCATACGTTCAGAAATAATCATAATAGCCTAATGAGAACTTAACAGAACACTGTAGTTGCATGAAAGAGAGACTAAAATTGTATGACTTTTCCAAAACGTTCGTTGATTTTACAAAATTCTATGACCTGAAAAATGACATTTTCAATTTCCACGACTTCTATGACTTTGGGAACCCTGAAGTTATCTTAAAATAAACTACCTTAGGACTAGAATTATCTACTTAATAGTTCTGAAATGGCTTAATCTGAAAACAAGATAAATAACCTGATATAAGTTTAAAAATTTGCAGGGAATTAGACAACTTTTTGTGTAAGCCCACCACGATTTTGTAGACAGGGGCCAGAAATATGCTTTTAGGTGTCTATACAACACCTAAAAGCATAATTATTTGTAGAAAGAATGAAATCTAACCACTGTAAACATATATATTCGCGTCGTTGACTTAATGTTTCGTACTGACAGCAACTTCAGTAGAGCCTCTATTCCAATTGTCAGGCGTAGAGGGTGAGATTTGTAGCCAGTCCACGGCGAAGCTTAGCGCAATACAAATGGGCTAAAGCCAACGGTGCACCCCTGTGGCTCTCTAGGCCCGGAGTTAAAAATATTACCCATCGACCGGCCAATTACTTTCAAAGGCTGAGAACAAGGCTTCAGCGCTAACAACTCACTCTGAGCAACTTAAGAGAAAAGTAAAAACACACAAAACAAAATCTTTACAGAGTCTTCAAGTTGCGCTGCGTAACTTTTCCGGCGGAGGGTCTGCCACCTGCTCGTCACCATGGAGATGTGACAGCTTTCCTTGAATTTTTCTTTTTATTACATCACTGTTTAATGTTTGTAAGTTTTTATATCGTGTTGTGGAAAGAACAATCGTCAACTTGAGTGTGAAGAGCTCTATAAATAAAGATCGACTAATACTAAACTGTGGAACATCAATCAAGCTCATCTCCATGGAGACAAACGAGCGATTCTAGGCCAAGTTACAGGTCAGATCTGCGGAAAGGCGACTCAGCTTACAGTAAGAATGCATGTTTTATTGCTATATTGTCAAAAAATTCCTCCACGGAGATGAGCAGGTAACAGATCCCCCGCCGGAAAAGTCACATAGCGCATCTTTAAACTTTTGTGAAACCAAAATCTTATGTCCCGAAATAAAACGATCTCTCTTTTTTTTTTTTTTTTTAAGCTCCACTCTCGCACATGCACAAGTCCAGGGCAGCCTCATTCGTCCACACAAACAAGAGGAGAGACAAGTTAGACAGAAGACGGACATCCACAATCACGTTTTTAGTTAACAAAGATTAGACAAAACAGAGACACAGAATTCATATATTAGTTTACTCATGTTAATAGGTTATATAATAGTACCATGTTTGGTCTGGTGTCGTACATAGGGTTATAGAAAGTAAGAATTTAAGGTGCCACTTCAGTTCTTTTTAAAATACAAGCTACATACTGGCTTCACTAATAATAACAATCAACATTTTCTGTCTTTTTTGTGTGTTTTAGATAAGTAAAAAGTGGACTATACCCAATTTCTCTAAAGTATAAGATTATTAAAGGTCCTGTATTACGCAAAATTTACTCTTGTGAGCTTTAAGTCATGTTAAAATGCTATAACAAAGGGTGTAACGGTACATGTATTCGTGCCGAACCGTTGCAGTACGGGATGTTCGGTTCGGTGCAATTTGTGTTTGTTTACATCCCGCCACTACATGTGCAGCTACACGAAAGGCTCGGCTCTTTAATATTCAGAGCAAACTCGTTCGTGATTGGGGTGGCAATGTTTCCAGCAGCGCTTTATATTTAGGGCGACCACCTTGACGATGATGTCCCTCTGAACCACATGAATCCTCGCAAAACTACGGTCTTCGCTCCTCACTTTCTCTGCCCCGCTACTGTAGACACTGTGGATAAGTTTGTTTTTCTGGCCAAAAATATGAAGATTGAGTAAAACTTCATGCTGGAACTGTTTGTGCTGCTCTTTACTTTTTGAAAAGTTTTGTTTATTGTTTACAAGTCATTTATTTTTTATAATATTTCATACATTTGTTGCTTATTTCAGAATATTTCATTTAAACTTATTAGTATTACCAAGCAGCACTTTGCATTTATATTATTTTCCCGTTTGTATAATGTTAAAACAAATCAGGCGCCATTCGGAAAAACTGTTGTTGTGTCCTTAGGCAAGGCACTTCACCCTCATTGCCGAGTATGAAAGTGGTGTGTGTGTGAGTGATGGTGGCGGTCGGATTGGCAGCCTCGCTTCCGTCAGTCTGTCCCAGGGCAGCTGTGGCTACAGTAGTAGTTTACCACCACCGTGTCTGGGGTTAATGAATAAAGCTCTGTAAAGCGTCTTTGAGTGTCCAAAAAAGCGCTATATAAAACTGACGCATTATTATTTTTATTATTAAATTGTTGGTTTAATAAAAACACGAATAAACAACAAGAAAATGGGTTTGTATTTTGTTTACGGTTTTGTAAATCGAAGTACGTACCAAACCGTGATTTTTGTACCGTTACACCCCTAGCTGTTACATAATCAAAAACATAGCTGGAGTTGTGTTTTGTTTACAGTCTGAGAGCCGAAATATCCAAAATTTGCTTTAAACAAGTGTGAATCAAACAAAACACAACTCTGTCTATGTTTGTGATGAAGAAACAACATTAAAACAGATTTAAAAAACAGCGTAATATGGGCCCTTTAAGACAAGAAGATTCTAACTGCTGAATTTGAATCGTGGCTAAGATATGCTAACAGGCTAATACGCTAATGTGCCAACTCATTTCCCGGTAGCATTTGCATAATATTGCTAATATCTGTAATAAAATGCAATAAATTCTAATTCCTGAGCTATGTTAATGCTATCAATATGACTAACACATGGCACCATTGTATCCGTGCATCCAGTGTTAAACCAAAGCCAAATAAGGCTAAACGGAAGATGTACTTGAAACCTACAGACTACTAGCTGCTGCACATGCTAACTGTTAATAATAATAATAATAGCGCTATAAGATAAAAAAATATTAGTATGTATTAGTCCAAACACAAAGATATCGAATGAATTGTTAAACTTTTAATTTAAAGTCTTGAAAAAATAAAGTGTTAGGCACCAAAAAGCCAAAGTAGCACAAAAGGTACTTGCACCACATTTTGAGAACCACCTGTCTATAACATAAAGCAAGGCACTCATTACAACACGAATCTATAGCACTGAATTTCACAGTTTATTGTTGTGAATAGGCCTGTCACAATAACTCCTACATCGACTATAGTTTAATGTATATATAAAAAAAAAAAAAAAATACACCGAAATATTTAGGTTTGTATATTTTTTGTGGTATTTGCTTCTAATCTAACCAAAATACTACAACACGTGAACTACAGAGGCTCAAATAACTACAGAACTATTATTAATTAACAATATTTACTCGCAAATACATTTATTGAGATGTTTTAAGCAAAATTTGTTACACCACAGTACAGATATAATGTAAAATTATTATAAAAACGTCTATTATCTGGCTTTTGTGTGGTCCTCTGTGTCTATTTGTTTATTTATTTGACTTATTTACTCCTATTTTTTGATTTTTATGATTTTGCTTTTAATTAATTTTACTGGTTTTATTATTTTAGGACTGGTATGACCAAATTTTAGCAATTTACCTTTTTTTGCCTTCCTCATTTTGTTTGTAAAATGTGATATATAAATAAAGTGGATTTGGATTTAAATTTAAAAGCAGCTCTTAGGGTCAAAATAAGACCACTCTACGTATCTAATCACACCAACACAAGGAAGTAATGTTGGTGCGCGGTTAGCCTGCTAGTTGTTTTTAGCATCACCGTGACCATAAAACTCTGCTTTAGTGTCTGAAGGTTGTGAAAAGCGCTTATAAACTCGGTGAATAATTACGACACTTTGAACGTGTAAGGTAAGTGAGGAATAACTTTGGACCACTGCAACCTGTATAAAATGATCTACCGTATTTTTCAGACTATAAGGCACACCGGATTATAAGGCGCAATATCAATAATGTTGAATTCTCTTGTCTATTTTCATACATAAGGCGCACCGGATTATAAGGCACATTAAGCGAAACAAACGGACGACACTTGAGACTGATCCCTTAGTCCAGGCGTCCACGATCCATCGGCAGATCGTGGCGTAATTCGCCCGGCGTTGCCTCCCTGTCTTGGTGAATGTGGATTATGAATGTGAATGTGGGTGGATAACTTTGAAAGTTTGTTTGTTTATTTCCTACGAGGACGACCCAAACATACACTGAGTAATAATGTGTTTAATGCAGCTTTGCGCACATTTGGTTACGTTTTACAGAAACAAAACTTAAAACCACATGACTAATTTGCATAAACTATAACGGAGGCTTGTGACTACAGTAGCCATAATTCTCCAATACTCCATCAAGTGGTGCGGCTTCGTAGTTTACTAAAGTCGTACTAAAACATTTTGACAGATCTTTGAGCGCCACGTACCACATAAAATCAGTTCGAGGTCAGTAAGCACAACCAGAATTAATACATACATAAGTGAAAATTAAAGGATTTTAAGTGCGCCTTGTAGTCCGAATAATACGGTAGTTCTGTTTTTCACATTTTTAAAACAGTAAAAAGCAGGTACGGCGCTTTTAAAACAGTCTAAACATTCGCTCACCATTATACATAAACATTATTGCTCTACAGTTTTGCGTATCGATGTTTTACCAAAAGCGAAACTTGAAATCGTGTTTAAAAATATTGTTATTGTGACAGGCCTAGTTGTAAGTAGCAGCAGCAGCAGCAGTACACACATCAACATGGTGTATTTATAAAGTAATGTCTGTGTTTGTGTGTGTGTGTGTGTGTGTGTGAGGGGGAGGGAGAGGGGGAGGGAGGGAGGGGGAGAGAGGGAGAGGGGGATGGAGGGAGAGGAGGTGTAGAGGACTCTAGCCGCTCTCCTTCCTCCTGTGTTGTTGCGTTGGAGGCTCAGGGCCAAGGGCACACCCACCTGAGAAGTTTCTGGACACCAGCATGGTGGTGAGGATGGCTCCCTAGAGGAGAGAGAGAGAGAGAGAAAGAGAGGAGGAGGGAAGGAGGAGAGACGAAAAGAAGGAGGGAGGGATGAAGGGAGAGATAAAGAGAGGGAAAGAAAGAAAGAAGGAAAGAAAAAGACAGAGACAGAGGGAGAGAGAAGGAGAAAACGCAAGAGAAGAGGATGAAAATAAAGAGTGGGAGGAGGAAGGAGGGAGAGAGGGAGAGGAGGAGTAAGACGAGGAGACGGGAGAAAGGAGGAGAAAGAGAGAGACGAGGAGGAGGGAGAGAAAGATAGAGAGAAGTGAATGAAAAGAAAGAGGGAGGAGGAAGGAGGGACAGAAAGAGAAGGAAGAGGAGGAGGGAGAGAAAGACATACAGAGAGAGAAGCGGATGAAAAGAAAGAGGGGGGAGGAAGGAGGGATAGAAAGAAAAGGAAGAGGAGAGGGAAAGAAAGAGATACAGAGAGAAGCAGATGAAAAGAAAGAGGGAGGAGGAGGGAGGGATAGAGAGAAGGAAGAGGAGGAGGGAGAGAAAACAAGAGAAAGCAAAAAAGAAAGAGAAGGAAGGAGGGATAGAATGAGAAGGAAGAGGAGGAGGAGGAAGAGAAAGAGAGAATGAGAGAGAAAGTCAGAAGCAGATGAAAAGAAAGAAAGTGAGGAGGAAGGAGGGATAGAAAGAGAAGTAAAAGGATTAGGGAGAGAAAGAGAGAAGCAGATGAAAAGAAACCGAGAAAAAAGGAGTGATAGAAAGAGAAGGAAGAGGTGGAGGGAGAGAAAAAGCATATTTTGGTTTTAGAACAATAAAGCTTTGAGTGTTTTAAAAGAAAAACTAGTGACTGTTTTTTTTTTTTTTCCTGCACTATAAACTCACTTAATGTAGAAAAATGAAAATAAACTACAGCTGTCAATCAATTAAAAACAACAACACATTAATCACACTTTTATACATTAGCACATTTCTCTACATTTTTATATAATTTATACATTAACAACATTATCCGCTCTAAACTGAAGCACTTAAAACACAAGAAAATTATTTATTAATTATTTGGTCATTATTTCTCAGAGAATCTGTCGCTTCAGCTAAAAGATAAAGTCCATATATTTTCTTACATTAATTGCCGCATTAAAGAGTAAACGTTGTTCAGTTAAAGGTGCACTGTGTAACTTTTTGGTTGCTGGTCCGTCACCTGCTTGTTTCCATGGAGATGTCATTGTTCTGCCTGGAATGTTCCGCAGTGTGACATTAAACAGCTCTAGTTTACATTTATTCAGTTACAGGTGGTTTTACAGCTCAAAAATGTCTACAAAAACAGGGATTCTGACTGTGAGCGGGGTCGCCTCGCCGCAGATCTGACCTGTAACTTGGTCTGGTTTGGTTGACAATAGAAAGGTTTAATGCCGTACTGTGAAACATTTGACGGACCCCTCCACCAGAATAGTTACACAATGGGGGGTTGAGACCCTGACTGGGACTGAGACCGAGACCAGACCACTGAGACCGGGACTGAGACCGGGACTGAGGCCAAGACTGAGGCCAAGACTGAGGCCAAGACTGAGGCCGGGACTGGACTAGAGCCAAGACTGAGAAGACCGACTGAGGCCAAGACTGAGACTAAGAGCGGGACGGACGGGACTGAGACCAGGAGACCAGGATGAGACCGGGAGACGGGACTGAGACCGGGACTGAGACCGGGACTGAGACCGGGACTGAGACCGGGACTGAGACCAGGACTGAAAGGGACAGACTGAGACCGGGAGACCAGACTGAGACTGAGGACTGAGAGGGACTGAGACAGGACCAGACCGACTGAGATGACGGACTGAGGACCGGACTGAGACTGAGGCCGGGACTGAGGCCTGAGATCAACTGAGACAGGACTGAGGACTGAGGACTGAGGGATGACCGGGACTGAGACTGGGACTGGGACTGGAACTGGGAACGAGATCGGGACCTAGACGGGACTGAGACCGGGACTGAGACCGGGACTGAGACCGGGAATGGAAAACAGACGTTATCTGTGTTTTCCATTTTTCATTTAAACACAAAATCGAAAAACTGAAAAAAAAAACGTTATTTGTTTTTTCATTTTGGTTTTGGAGACAAATAATGAAGAAAATTGTTGTTTTTTTCATTTTCTTATTTTTGGTTTTATTTTGAAAAAGGAATGAACGAATGACACACGGATTCTGTATCGATATATCATATTTTTTGGTATATTTTACTAAATTATTTTGTTACAGCCACAGTTTTGTCGCTCGTTCAGTTGAAGGAAACTCGTTTATGCGACACATTTGACATTTTTACTGTTTTGTTGAATAAAATGTTTGTGTTTCATTTTCACTTTGCACAAGAAGCGGTTTAAGAAAGACTTTTCGTATCACAGCCATGATTTAGCTTTAGTTACACAATGCTCCTTTACGACTTTAATCATTTCTAGACTCGTTTAGACCTGGTCGAGTTCCTTTTTATCATTTTAAAGGAGAAGGATAAAGAAAGTTAGTCATAATATTGTTGTTTCAAAGGTCTTTTCGAGTCACGATAAACAGATATTAGGAGGTGGGCGGGCACGACGGCTCATACAATAAACATGGTAAAAAAAAAAAAAAAAAAACTCACCTAATGGAAAATAAACCGTAGAGCAAACATTGACAGAGCTGTGGAAATGAATCATAAATAATAGAGGAGAAAGTACCTTGAGTTTTCTGCGAGCGTTGAATTTGCGGAGACACTCCACGGTCTCCTGTCTGTGCATCATGGAAGCCACTGTGGACCGGTGCTGTGGAGGGACAATAAACATGAGCGTGGACGTTACAAACAGATTTAAAACACAATGTTGAATAATTATATAACAGCCATTCACTTTACATGACATTATAGAAGAGTAGATGCCTTTAAACTGAGCTGGAGGACAGATCATAGGAGGAATTTTGGCTTTTAAATGTCAGATTCCAGATGTTTTGACCTGTTTTTGAGGTTTAACTCTTTTCCCCCATGAAGACGACATTTGACGACCCCCTTTGTTTCCTTAATGACGTGTTTTGGCACCTCCGCTGTGTCACTAAAGACGTGATTTGACGACCATTAGAAACGGCTCGGCGTTAGGTGGGGGCCACTGCAACCCACACAAGGCTGACCAATAGGATTCAAGGACACGTTTTCGCCGATTTTTTCCGAAGTTTAACGAAGTAGTGACGATTGTAGCTTCCGAAAAAAAACACACAACATAAAACACGTGCAATGGAAAGATTGCGTATTTTATGGAGAAGTTTGGAGAAAGTGACTTTTATAGGCGAGTTTCTTTGTTGACAAAAGCGCGCGTTGCATTCTGGGAATTATTTTGGTCGGCGGCAAGAAACACTAATTCAACATGACGGACGGAGCGAGAAAGCACGTAAAGGGTATTGATCCTGGTTATTTATCCAGTCTAACGGCAGAGGACCCAAGACCATTTGACCAGAAATTGGTCATAAGCATCGATGGAGCCAAATCACCCTTTTCAACCCCGACAAAAGGTGGACCAAACCAAATTTCTGTTCTGAATCGCCAACTACCTGGACAAATATTCACTTTGGCGACATCCACAATGACTTGGTGGAAACTCCTGGGCCATTCACAGCAGAAAAGATGAAAACCTCCAAGAGTCTCGATGTGTTGTTGAACTTGTCGAAGTCCACGGTTTGTTAGGATCTTCTACGTTTGCTCTGCGGATGTTTGAAAGTCGTTTAATTCGCCGTTAGCGGTTCTTTTCACTCAGAATATGAAAAAGACATTTTCCTTCTTCCGTGCTTCTATTTGTGCATCCGATAATGCAGCAGGAATTTACCATTATCGGGGATAAATACGCGAGGTTACGCACTGTGTTTTGACGCTATCCTGTTTCTTGCCTCCGACCAAAATATTTCCCAGCATGCAACGCGGGCTTTTAATAACAATGACGTCAGCTGAAACTCGCCTATAGATTTCAACGTGATGATGAAGTTGATTATAAAGTGGAAAACAGCGACTTTCGGAGAGTGAAACTTGAGAGTGAAACCCTAACCCGAAATCTGGATGTTTCTCAGGTGAGTCCTTTGAAATATTTCAGTCTTTTTTTCCAAGATGCAATGTATGACAGAATTGCTACAGAAACAAACGCTTATGTGGAGCTCTGCGCACGAGAAAGTAACCAAGATGACAAATACTGGACACACACTGACAACATTATAACATCAATAGATGCCCCTTAAGGTAAAAATTCAATCAAAAATGCATGATTATCGTAAGTTAAAAATACTTTAAAACATAAAATTAAAACAGCAAGTTTGTGAACTCAGTCTCTCACAAGGTTAACCATTTGTGGAGTTCATATTTATATAAAAAGACTGATAAAAACTGTCCAAATACAGCACAAATTATGGAGAATGTCACAGTAATTTTCTCTGTTGATAAAAAAACAACTAATTATAGATTAAATATAGTTACTTCTATATGTTTAAGACAATATTACAAGCTTAAAGTCTGATCTGTTTTACCAAATGTTCTGTCCTCCAGCTGAAATTATAACTTAAAAAAACACGAGCGCCACATATCCGGCCCTGCGCTGTAAGTGCCCCCTGAATGATTGAAGAAGTGGGCGGAGCTTGTACTTACGCAGACCCATGGGTGCTTGAGGGCCTGTTCCGCGGTGATCCTCTTGGCCGGGTTTATGGTCAACATCTGGTTGATCAGGTTCTTCGCCTCGGGAGTCACTGTGTCCCACTCCGGAGAAGGGAACTGAAAAAGAACATGTTTGTGTTAGTGAAAGAAAGTCAAGCAGCCAAAACTGTCCACATAAAGATAATTCACTACATATGGGAGCGGGTGATTTGACAAAAAAGGATTATTATGATTTGGGTTTGGGTTTTAAGGGTGCACTGCGTAACTTTTCTTGTGGAGAGTCCGTCAAATGCTCTTCTCCATGTAGCGGTGCGCAAAAATATTGAAATGTCGATATATCGTATTGTTTAATGTGATGGTACAGTATCGATATCAGGGGCTGCTCTGCTTCATTGTTTTTTCAAAATAAAACCAAAAATAAGAAAACAAAAAAAACAGCTATTTTATTCATTATTTGTCTCCAAAATCTAAATGAAAAAAAAAAGGTTAATGGCCGTTTCCAGTTTCCGTGACTTAAACTGCGATGCCGGACTTTTGCGCCGCAAACGGACAGAACCGGGACTGAGACCGGGACTGAGACCGGGACTGAGACCGGGACTGAGACCGGGACCAGATAGTGACCAGACCTGGACTGAGACTGGGACCAGACTGGGAACAAACCGACACCAGACCAGGACTGAGACCAGACCGGGAATGGGAAACAGCCATTATCCAGTTTTCCATTATTACTTTAAACATAAAATCAAAAACTGAAAAAAAAAAACGATTCGTTATCTGTTTTTTCATTTTAGTTTTGGAGACAAATAATAAAGAAAACAGCTGTACACGGATTCTGTATCAAATTATCGCAAGTCACAAGTATTTTTTGGTATATTTTACTAAATTATTTAGTTACAGAGCTACAGTTTTGTTGCTTGTTACAACACATTTGACATTTTCACTGTTTTGATGATGAAAATGTTTGTGTTTCATATGAACTTTGCACAAGAAGTGGTTTAACAAAGACTTTTAGTATCACAGACTTGATTTAACCTTGATTTTTTACTGAACCGTATCAAATCTATTTGAAATATATCGTATCGAATCGAAAGCTCACTGTATCGAGGTATGTATTGTATCGGCAACTTCTTAATGACACCCAGCCCAATCTCCATGGCGATGTTGTTTTGCCCAGAATGTTTCACAGTATGGCATTAAACTTTTCTATCTTCACAGAAATCAAACTGGAGCAAGTTAAAGGTCAGGTCTGTGGAGAGGCCCACTCAGTCAGTATGTCTGTTTTCTAGATATTTAATTGAATAAATGTAAAATAAAGCTGTTTAATGACATACTATGGAACATTCCAGCCCAGGCAAGATAATTATAGAAACAAGCAGGCGACGGACCCCCGCTTCTAGAAGTAACACGTCTCCTATATCATTCCATGAAAACAGAAAAGTAAAACCACATTTTGGAACATTCTCCATGAAGATATGAAAGTTGTATGTCATGTTGGAATATAATGGGCAAAGGAATTACCGTGGAAACAAGGAGGCCAAATAAGGTTTGTGGAAATGTAAGACTGCTCAGTACAATATAAAAAATAATAAATAAAAATATAAATAAATTGCAACAATATAAAAATAAAAATAACAATATAATAAATAATACAAAAATAATAGAAAATAAAAATACATTCTTGTCCCTTGCACTTTATGCCTTTTGCACTATTTACTATTTATACTAGCATAATTTATTTATCTGTGGTGACTGTAGTGGTAGATTATGTCATATGTTGTTTCTGTGAACGTAAATGTTGTCCTGTCTGGTGCTATAGAGAGAAACATCATTTCGATGTCTCGTACATGTGAAGAAATTGACAATAAAGCTCATTTGAACTTTGAAAATGGAATAAAAAATCATTCTGAACTCGTCTATCGATGAAGCTCGATCTTTTAAAGGCCGAACTGCGGAGCATCTCGAGCCAAAAGCAATAACATCTCCATCAAGACAAGCGGATGACAGGCTCAAAAAGTTACATCATGCACCTTTAAATACCAATCAACTTTGTCGTGAAAATCGATCAAAACTATAGACCCGAGTTCGCAGTAATCGGACTTGGACAGGAGGAACCATTTGTGGAGATGGGTATTTCAGGTCTTCAAATTTAGGGCATTAAATATGAATGAGCCCAAATAGAGAGGAGCTGTGTTGTGTTTTGCGGACGGGGCAGAGTGGATTATGGAGATGAATAAGTCTAATGCCATACTGTGGAACATTCCAGGCTGTATCTCCACCAGAAAAGTTACAAAAAGTATGAGCCAAAATAAAGAAGAGGAGTGTTGTTCTTTGGTGCATTTTGTGTATTTTAAGTGCATTATATAACTTTTCTGGCGGAGGATCTCTCAAACGCTCGTCTCCATGGAGATGTTAAACCTTCTTATCTTCATGGACACCAAACCAGACCAAGCTACAGGTCAGATCTGTGGAGAGGCGACCCCGCTCACAGTCAGAATGTCTGTTTTTGTAGGGGTTTTTGAGCTTTAAAACCACTTGTAATTGAATAAATGTAAGGTAGAGCTGTTTTTAATGTCATACTGTGGAACATTCCAAGCAGTGACATCCCCATAGAAACAAGCAGGTGACAGACCCCCAACCAAAAAGTTACACAGTGCATCTTTACTTATGAATGAAGCCAAAATAGAGGAGTCATGTTGTTTTTTGTGTGTTTTAAGTGCATTATATAACTTTTCTGGCAGAGGATCTCTCAAATGCTCGTCTCCATGGAGATGTTAAACCTTCTTATCTTCATGGAGACCAAACCAGACCAAGTTACAGGTCAGATCTGTGGAGAGGCAACACCACTCACAGTCAAAATCCCCATTTTTCTTGGTATTTTTTGAGCTTTAAAACCACTTGTAATTGAATAAATGTAAGGTAGAGCTGTTTTTAATGTCATACTGTGGAACATTACAAGCAATGACATCTCCATAGAAACAAAAATGTGACAGAAACCCAACCAAAAAGTTACACAGTGTATCTTTAATTACTTATGAATGAAGCCCAAATAGAGGAGTCATGTTGTTTTTTTGTGTATTTTAAGTGCATTATATAACTTTTCTGGCAGAGGGTCTCTCAAACGCTCGTCTCCATGGAGATGTTAAACCTTCTTATCTTCTTGGACACCAAACCAGACCAAGTTACAGCTCAGATCTATGGAGAGGCAATGCCGCTCACAGTCAGAATTCTTGTTTTTCTAAGGATTTTTGAGCTATAAAACCACTTGTAATTGAATAAATGTGGTGGTAAAGGTGTTTTTAATGTCATACTGTGGAACATTCCAAGCAATGACATCTCCATAGAAACAAAAATGTGATGGAAACCCAATCAAAAAGTTACACGGTGAATCTTTAATTGTGAATTAAGCCCAAAAGAGAGAAGTCATGTTGTTTTTTTGTGTATTTTAAGTGCATTATATAACTTTTCTGGCAGAGGGTCTCTCAAACGCTCGTCTCCATGGAGATGTTAAACCTTCTTATCTTCATGGAGACCAAACCAGACCAAGTTACAGCTCAGATCTATGGAGAGGCAATGCTGCTCACCATCAGAATATATATTTTTCTAGGGATTTTTGAGCTATAAAACCATTTGTAATTAAATAAATGTATGGCAAAGGTGTTTTTAATGTCATACTGTGGAACATTCCAAGCAATTATATATTAATAGAAACAAACAGGTGATGGACATCTAATCAAAAAGTTACACAGTGCATCTTTAATTGTGAATCAAGCCCAAATAGAGGAGTCATGTTGTTTTTTGTGTATTTTAAGTGCAATGTGTAACTTTTCTGGTGGAGATGTTGGTCTCCATGGAGATGTTAAACCTTCTTATCTTCATGGAGAACAAACCAAACCAAGTTACAGGTCAGATATGCGGAGAGGCGTTGCCGCTCAGAGTCAAAATGCTTGTTTTTCTCTGAATTTTTGAGCTATAAAACCACCTGTAATTGAATAAATGTGGCGGTAAAGGTGTTTTTAATGTCACACTGTGGAACTTTCCGGGCAAGGCAATGACATCTCCATAGAAACAAGCAGGTGAGGGACCCCCGGCCAAAAAGCTACACGGTGCGTCTTTACTAGAGAGGAGCCGAGTTGATTACGGAGATGAGTTTGCGCATCTCAGCGGAAAAAAGACGCAGGTGACGGACCCTCCGCCAGAAAAGTTCCACGGCGCGTCTTTAATTACGAACGAAGCCCGAACGGCGGAGAGGAGTTGTGTTTTGTGGACAGAGCGGAGTGGATTGTGGGAGACGGAGGCAGGCCCGGACACTTCGGCGTGTCTGTGTGTCTCTCGCAGACACAGCCCTCTGCAATGCGTCAGGGAGACTCCGATAGGATCAATAGCTTTGGACCAATTGGACTCTATTAAACATTCAAAAAGTGCTTAGCAAACCCCTGCACTGCACCCGCACAAACATACACCTACTGAAGAGCGAGGGAAGGCGAGGGAGGGAGGGAAGGAGGGAAGGAAGAAGGGAGGAAGGAAGGGAGGAAGGAAGGGGGGAGGAGAGAGAGAGACAGAGGGGGGGTGGAGGAAAAAGGGAAGAGAGCGTGACAAAGAGACAGAGTAGGAGGAGAGAGATGGGGGAGAAGGAAAGAGTAGAGACAGAGAGAGAGAAAGACAAAGAGAGAGAGAGAGTGAAAGAGAGAGAGAGAGAGAGAGAGAGAGAGAGAGAGACAGAGAGAGACCAACAGAGAGAGAGAGAGAGAGAGAAAAACAAAGAGAGAGAGAGAGAGAGAGAGAGAGACAGAGAGAGAGACAGAGAGAGAGAGAGAGAGAGAGAGAGAGAGAGAGACAAAACAGAGAGAGACAGAGAGAGAGAGAGAGAGAGAGAGAAAGAAAACAAGAGAGAGACAGAGAGAGAGAGAGAGAGGAGAGAGAGGACCGATAGAGAGAGACAGAGACAAAGACAGAGTGTGACAGAGAGAGAGAGACCGAGAGAGAGAGAGAGAGAGAAAGAGACAAAGACAGAGAGTGACAGAACAGAGAGTGACCGATAGAGACAGAGAGAGAGAAGACAGAGACAGAGAGAGACAGAGAGAGAAAGAAAGAAGGAGAGAGAGAGAGACAGAGACAGAAGACGAGAGACAGAGACAAAGACAGAGAGTGACAGAGAGAGAGAGAGAGAGAGAGAGAAAAGACAGAGAAGAGAGAGAGAGAGTGACAGAGAGAGAGAGAGAGAGAGAGAGAGAGACCGATAGAGAGAGACAGAGACAAAGACAGAGGGTGACAGAGAGAGAGAGACCGAGAGAGAGAGAGAGACAAAAAGAGAGAGAGAGAGAGAGAGAGAGTGACAGAGAGAGAGAGAGAGAGAGAGAGAGAGACAAAGAGAGAGACAGAGACAAAGACAGAGGGTGACAGAGAGAGAGAGAGAGAGATGGAGGAAAAAGGGAAGAGAGCATGAGAAAGAGGGTAGGAGGAAGAGAGAGGTGGTAGATGAACAGAGAGTGACCGAGAGAGAGAGAGAGACAGAGACAAAGACAGAGAGTGACAGAGAACAGAGAGTGACCGATAGAGAGAGACAGAGGGGGGATGGAGGAAAAAGGGAAGAGAGCGTGACAAAGAGACAGAGTAGGAGGAGAGAGATGGGGGAGAAGAAAAGAGTAGAGACAGAGAGAGAGAAAGACAAAGAGAGAGAGAGAGTGACACAGAGAGAGATAGAGAGAGAGACAAAGACAGAGTGACAGAGAGAGAGAGAGAGACAAAGACAGAGTGACAGAGAGAGAGAGAGAGAGACAAAGACAGAGAGTGACCGATAGAGACAGAGAGAGAGAGTGACAGAGAGAGAGAGTGACAGAGAGAGAGAGAGTGACAGAGAGAGAGAGTGACAGAGAGAGAGAGAGACAGAGAGAGAGAGTGACAGAGAGAGAGACAGAGACAAAGACAGAGGGTGACAGAGAGAGAGAGTGACAGAGAGAGAAAGAGATGGAGGAAAAAGAGAAGAGAGCATGAGAAAGAGGGTAGGAGGAAGAGAGAGGTGGTAGACGAAAAGAGTAGAGAGAGAGAGAGAGAGAGGAAGAAAAAGGGAGGAAACATGAGAAAGAGAGAGTAGGAGGAGAGAGATGGGTAGAGAAAAAGAGTAGAGAGACAGAGAGAGAGAGGGGGGTTGGAGGAAGAAGGGAAGAGAGTGTGAGAAAGAGATTAGGAGGAGAGAGATGGGGGAGAAGAAAAGAGTAGAGAGAGAGAGACACAGAGAGAAAGAGAGAGGGGGGGTGGAGGAAAAAGGGAAGAGAGCATGAGAGAAAGAAGAGAAAGAGAGGACTGAGGAAAAAGGGAAGAGAGCAGAGAAAAAGAGAGAAAGAGAGGGACTGAGGAAAAAGGGAAGAGAGCAAGAGAAAGAGAGAAAGTAGGAGGAGAGAGAGATGGGGTAGAGGAAATGAGCATAGATGGAGAGAGTAAGAGAGAAGGAGGGATGGAGGAAGAAGGTTAGAGAGAGTTAGAAAGAGTAGGAGGAGAGAGGTGGTAGAGGAAAAGAGTAGAGAGAGAGAGGGAGGGATAGCTGAAGAAGGGAAAAGAAAGACGAAAGGGGTGAGAGAAAGAGGAAGAAGAGAGGAGGTTGGACGAAGAAGGAAAGAGAGAGAGAGAGAAGGATGGAGAAAGAAAGACAGATAGACAAGGAAAAGAAGGAGCAAACAACGAGAAAGAGATTGAAAGAGCGGCATGAGAGAGAGAGAGAAGAAAGAGAAAGAGAGAGAGAGAGATGGGAGCAAAAAGGAGCAAATTACGAGAAAGAGATTGAAAGAGGGGAGAGAGAGAGAGAGTAACAGAGTCAGAGATGGACAGAAAGAGACAGAGAGATGGTAAAAAGAAAGAATTAAGGAGAAGAGGGGCAAAGAAAGACAGACCGACAGGGAAAAGAAGGAGCAAATAGTGAGAAAGATTGAAAGAGGGGAAGAGAGAGAGAGTAAAAGACAGAGAAAAGGGGGGACGAAGAAAGACAGACAGGGAAAAAAGAGGAGGAAATAACGAGAAAGAAATTGAAAGAGGGAGAAAGAGAAATGGAGATAGTAAAAGAAAAGGAATTAAAGAGAGAGAGGAGGGTCGAAGGAGGACAGATAGACAGCGAAAAGAAAGGGATTGAGAACGGGGAGAGAAAGAGAGAGAGAAAGACTTACATCGTAGGCCCCGGCCTTGATCTGTTGATACAATTTGTGCTGATCCTCGTCCCAGAACGGCGGGTATCCCACTAACAGGATGTACAGAATAACTCCTAATATGGGCAAAGAGGAAAACGTATTAGGAATCAAACCAACATGAGCTTATTTGATTTGAAACTACAATACGGCCATTTCTGGTACAGCTAAGCTAAGAAAACTCAAATTTAAGACGGGTTTGTAAAAAGGTGGGCACATAGTTTTGTTTAAAGGGCCCGTATTCCACCATTTTCTCGGGATGTAACGATATCCAAATCTCATGATATTTATTGCGATATTTTGTAGACGGGACACTTTTTTGCTTTTAAAATACCTTGACAAGATTTTAGCGTGAATTATTTCCATCATAATCCCAAGAATTCAATTAAAAACGTATTTCTTCATATTGTCTGTGCTGAAATGAATCATGGGAAATGTAGTTTTTGATGTTTATAAGCCGTTTCTACTATAAAACCATGCGTTTAAGCAAAGGAACTTGTGATTCGATATATTGTGACAGACCACGATATTATTTTTTAGACTTTTGACGATAGAATATCACAATATTTGGGTTATTGTTACATCCTTGCTATTTTCTGATCTATATTTCTGTTATAATGTCGTGTAATCACCGAGGTGGGACCAAGTCGTTGTTTTGCAAGTCTCAAGTCTTTGACCTCAAGTCCGAGTCAAGTCACAAGTCAAATGCAGGCAAGTCCAAGTCGAGTCTCGAGTCACTGGCCCATAAGTCCAAGTCAAGTCCAAGTCGTCTGCTTTGAGCTTCAAGTCATTTCAAGCCTTTAGATTTTTGGAATTTATATGAATTTTAAGCTCAATTGTACCTAAAAAGTCACGGTATATTTATATATTTGAGTATTTATATATAGTATGAGTTGTAGAAATGTAAATTTTTCCTTTTTAAATGTCAAGATCTTAGTGTGAATCATTACGGTCAGAACAGAAATAATTCAGATTTAAAAGTGCTAAATAACAGTTTGTCGTGTAGTTTTGCACTGAAATGGAAGGATCATGTTTTCTGTAGTTCCCTCTGTTTTACTACATTGTTCTGTATATTACTGTAGTACTTTCGAGGATACTATGTCACAGTACTTCAGTTACATCCAAAGTCAGTGTTGGGAAGGTTACTTTTAAAATGTATTCCCCTACAGATTACAGATTACATACCCCAAAATGTAGTTTGTAACGTAATCCATTAAATTACTTAAAGTGAGTAAAGTAATCTGAATACTTTGGATTACTTGATATTGTTATGCTTTTGAAAACAACATGAATGTAACAACTACATCCTGAAAATTCTTGTTTGTTCTCTTCAAATTGTCTGTTGAGCCCAAGTCTCCATGAACAGACAACTGTTTACTGTAGAGAAGTAAAGACCAGGAAATCTTAACATGAGATATTTGTTTTGTCTGTGAAAATAAAATAAAAAGTCCTGTCTTTACTTAAGCATTTTAAAAATATTATTGATAGAGAAATAATTTATATATGAAATCACTGCTGCCTTAAATTATGTCCACCTACTGTTAGGTGTCATATTGTCTAGACCAGGTTTAGTCCTGCTTTTAGACCTGGTTCAATCCTGGTTTAGACCAGGTTTAGTCCTGCTTTTAGACCTGGTTTAGTCCTGGTTTAGTCCTGGTGTAGTCCTGGTTTAGACCTGGTGTAGTCCTGGTTTAGACCTGGTTTAGTCCTGGTTTAGTCCTGGTGTAGTCCTGGTGTAGTCCTGGTTTAGTCCTGGTTTAGTCCTGGTTTAGTCCTGGGTTTAGTCCTGGTTTTAGTCCTGGTTTAGTCCTGGTTTAGTCCTGGGTTTAGTCCTGGTTTAGTCCTGGTTTAGTCCTGGTTTTAGGCCTGGGTTTAGTCCTGGGTTTAGTCCTGGTTTAGTCCTGTTTTAGTCCTGGTTTTAGTCCTGGTTTAGTCCTGGTTTTAGTCCTGGTTTTAGTCCTGGTTTAGTTCTGGTTTAGCCCAAAATGTGAAAACAGGAAAATACCGCTGTGTAATCCATTTATTTCAACAAAGTAACTGTAATCACAGTAATTGTAACTGAATACAGTTACTCATAAATTGTACTCTGATTACGTAATCCCAGTTACATGTAATCCGTTACTCCCCAACACTGTCCAAAGTAACAAACGGAGAAGTGGGACGGACATGTTCCAGTTTGTTCCTTTAAAATTCAGCATCACATTTATCAACTGTAAAGAGAAAAGTATTTTCTAAAAACATAAATTTTTTTTAGGAGAAGCATCAGGTCTTCTCAAGTCACAGGCCTCAAGTTGGAATCAAGTCCCAAGTCACTGACCTTCAAGTCTAAGTCTAGTCCCAAGTCTTAAAAATAGTGACTCAAGTCTGACTCGAGTCCAAGTCCCCACCTCTGTGTCCTCATCACAAACAGACCTGGAGTTGAGTTTTGTTTCATTCACACATTTTTAACTCACAAACTCAGCGTATTTAAACTGAGTTCCACCTTGTGATGCGGTAAAGTGCTCCACTGTGTTTTTAAACTCCTTCAAAATACACCTTCACTAGAATCATTTGGATGATTTTAGACCTGGAAATGCCGATCTGTACTGAATTAAAAAGTAAAATGTAGCTGTTCAACTTGAAAACTACCGCTTCATGACATCACAAGGTGGAACAGAGCATTTTGAGCTTTAGAGACGTAGACAGACTAATAATAAAAGATTACTTAAACATGTGTGAATGAAACAAAACAACTCCAGGTCTGTTTTTGAGAAGGAAACAACATTATAACATGTCAAAAAGCTCATAAGAATAGATTTTGTGTAATACAGAACCGTCAAATGATTTCTAAATAAAATTGTTGTTATTGTTGTACTCTATTGTATTTTATTGTTTTCTATTCTATTCATCTATTGTTAAGTCTTGCGTAATGTTTGAAACTTAAACCTACCACAAGCCCAGATATCCACAGGTTTCCCATAAGGATCTTTCCGCAAAACTTCTGGAGAAAGGTAACCAGGTGTACCGGCGAAACCTGAAAAACACAAAAGAATTTCACTGTTAAAAATGACAAACAACTCTTAACCACCTCACATTTCTCTGTCCATCAAACTCAGATCAAATGTACATAGATTATACGGTGTCGTTTGTTGTTTTTGTTGTCATTCCCTTATAATTATTTTACGATTTTGTGGATTTATGAAGGTTTAATCTGCAAAACTTCCCCAATTTCTTTGTTATTTGAGTGGTCATGTCTATCAGCCCTCAAACATTTTCAAATATTGTTCGGTTTAGAAAACATTTGTGCACGTGATCCATCATAAAAAATGTGTTCTTAAAGGTGCACTGTGTAACATTTCTGGCGGCCACTTGCTCGTCTCCATGGAGATGTTGTTGCTTTGCCTGGAATGTCCCTGTACGGCATTAAACGCATCCATCTTGCATTTACTCAATAACCTGGGTTTTTGTTTACCTAAAAACTTGCATTCTTACTGTGAGTGGGCTCGCCTCCGCACAGATCTGACATGTAACTTGGCCCTGTTGTGTCGCCTGCTGTCTCCGTAGATGTATATAAGTGTAATGCCGCACTGTGGGACATTCTGGTAATGAGCCCTCCAGCAGAAAAGTTACGCAGTACCTTCAAATATGTATATGTGTATTTTTTCACTTTAGATGTGACGCAAAACAACAGTTTTCTTCATTATTTGTCTCCAAAACCAAAATGAAAAAAAAAGATTCGTTTTTTTCAGTTTTCGAGTTTATGTTTAAATTAATAATGGAAGAAACAAATAACGACTGTTTCACGTTTCAGTGACTTAAACTGTGATGCCGGACTGAACCAGGAGTAAACCAGGACTAAAACAGGTCTGGGACCAGACCAGGACCAGAACCAGGACTGAGACCGGGACCAGGACCGAGACCGGGACTGAGACCAGGACCAGACCAGAACTGAGAACAGAACTGAGACCAGAACTGAGACCAGAACTGAGACCAGGACTGAGACTGGGAACAGGATCAGGACCAGACCGGAACCAAACCAGGACCAGACCGGGACCAGGATGGGATTTGAGGACCAGGACTGAGACTGGTACCAAACCGGGATGACCGGGACCAACGGACTGAGACCGGACTGCGACCGGGACTGAGACCGGGACTGCGACCGGGACCACCGGGACTGACCGGGGGAAACTGAGACCGGGACTAAGGGACCAGGACAAGACCAGGACCAGACCGAGACTGTGACCAGGACTGAGACCGGGACTGAGACCGGGACCGAGACCGGGACCAGACCGGGATCAGACCAGGACTGAAAACGGTTTAGTCCTGGTTCAGTCAGTGGTTTTATATTGAAAGATTAATGAACGACTGATACACAGATTGTCCTGTATTACACGAAATGGATTCTTGTGAGTTTTTAGCCAAAAGCTCAAAATGTTCTGTTCCACTTTGTGATGTCACTGTAGTTTTCAAGTAAACAGCTACCTTTTAATTTTTGTTAATTCCAGGTCTAAAATCATCCAAATGATTCTAGTGAAGGTGTATGGAGTTTAAAACCACAGTGGAGCACTTTCTGTATTACTGCATGACATCACAAGGTGGAACTGAGCGTAAATTTGCAGTGTTTGTGCATTAAACGTGTATGAGTGAAACAAAACACAACTCCAGGTCTATTTGTGACGAGGAAACATTAAAACAGCTCAGAAAATTGCGTAATACGGGTCCTTTAAAACACCAACGTACTATTTTCGTCATTTATCCAATTAAATCAAGAGTTTATTTGAACACCAAATTTTATAAACAAGACAGTTTCCACATTTAGAACCAAAACACTGAAGCAACATCATAAGAACACGTCTAAATGCGTTTATAAAGTTTACACAAAAGTCGATCTCTGCTTTTCCACATAAAAACGCCCGAGAAATAAATTGTACTTGATTTAGATTTCCTCATTTGTCTCAGCGCCGCCTCGGGGGCTTCAGACTCCCAGGTTGAATGGGCCAATCTCGCGCGTTGAATTTTTAATGCAGGAAATGTTGACAGTTTTGTGAATGGCTGGAGTTATGGGTTAAAGTGGATGACGACAGCGCAGAGGAGAGAGCTACAGCGCCGTTTTCTCATTCTCATTCCGCTGCTGATGTAGCGCCCCGACACGGACCGTATAAAGAAGTGGACTAAAGGAGCGTGACGGCAACTATAAGCGGCTCCAGTCAAATGAAGCTCACCGAGGCTGGCAGTTATAGAAGAAGCAGTCAGACATAAAGAAAGAGTAGTAATGTAGTCTATACTTGAGTAAAAATGGAGGTATCTGTAGTAAGGATGGGCATTCGATGAAATTAATCGATCATCGGGAGAATTAACAATCGATTATCAATGAATCATTAATGTTTTTATATTAAACTGATCATCATTATTATTACTACTAATCTGCCTAAATAAATTCAACTTTACAACATATAAACCATAATTACTCCAGAGCAGGCATGTCCAAACTACGGCCCGTGGGCCAAATGCGGCCCTCAGACAAATTTTTCTTGGCCCTCAGGCTTACAGGAGAATTGGCCCAAATTACCTTGCATCAATTAAAAATGAACTTTTTATTGCAAGTTTTTTGAAAATCTACCTTGATAGAGTTAATATTTAATATGTAGTGTGTGGTTTTAAGGATTTTAGCATGAATAAAGGACTGATGAATCATTCTAACATGTTAAACATGCACATATTTCAATTATTCACTGTATTGAGCACCAGTCTACGACCCTCAATTGGCCCTCTGGTTTGTTTGTGTTTAGATATGTGGCCCTTGATGAAAAAAGTTTGGACACCACTGATCTAGAGCCACATGAGCCCGTTTGACATTATAATGTGTTTAATTCAGTTTTGCGCAACTCTCACAGAAACAAAACTTAAAACTGCATGGCTCATTTGCATAAACGAAGCAAAAAAAAAACCAACAGTTCTTGTGTCGCTGATGCGGTTCAGCTTCCTGTCGGACTAAAAGACACGACTCAGTGGAATACAGGTTAGTGTGACCATATTTGCGTTTGTCAAAATCAGGACACTGTACGGGGGGTGGGAGGTGGGGCCTCGTCATTGACATTGCGCGACTCTCTCCAGACAAAGCTTTTTAATGTTTTTTGGTGTTTTGAGGTCCCTGACACCACCACTGGACACCGAAACATATGTGCTGCTTTGTACACTGTGCACATGGCCTCACACTTGTCCAGACCGGAACGGAAAGTGTGGAATTTCTGGTACAAGTCATCGTTAAATATGCATTTGCACTTCAGCAGGTTGCAGACTGACCGACTCTTTGTGTCTGCTCGCTCCTTCTGAGTGCAGAGAGCAACGAGAGACGCTGAGTTTAATGGCCCAATGAAAAGTAATGAAAATCTGAACATTTGCATCACTTTATTAAAAAAAAAAAAAAAACGTGGACAGCCAGGACAGGACGTGGAAAACGAACATTTGGTCACCCTACATTCATACATACACAGCAACCTACATTCAGTTTGTCAATTAAAAATGAACATAATCGACGCAATTCTTAATGATCAATTATCGATTAATCGACTAATCATGCCCATCCCTAATCTGTACTTTACTGAAAGGTGCACTGAGTAACTTTTTGGTTGGGGGTCAGTTCAGTCACTTGCTTTTTTCTATGGAGATGTAATTGATCTGCCTGGAATGTTCCACAGTGTGACTTTAAACAGCTCTACTTTACATTTATTCAATTACATATAGTGGTTTTATAGCTCAAAAATACATAGAAAAACAGACTCTGACTGTGAGCGGGGTCGCGTCTCCACAGATCTGACCTGTAACTTGGTCTGGTTTGGTCTCCATGAAGATAGAAAGGTTTAATGCCATACTGTTCATGAAGAAAAGCATTTGATGGACCCTCCACTAGAAAAGTTACACAATGCACTTTTAAGTATACTGCAAAGTGGACACATACTACATTTCTGAACAGAACTGAAAAGTAACAGTATTTTCATTCTTATTTGAGACCTGCTGAAAAGGCTCTGAGGGTTTATTTTTAACACGTTCGTAGGCTGAGCAAACAAAAATATACAGATAAAAACAACTAGAAAAAACTCAATTCCCTCGTTTCTGTTGAACAAAATTCATCCCAAATCTGCGTTTGAAGCTTTATTAGATCTCAAAATGTGCATGAAATACTTACACTTTTTACTCTCTAAGTACATTCTTAAACTGAATACTTTTTCATTCATGTCATACTTTTATTTGAGTACTTTTTTTGCTCCAGTATCTGAAAAAAATGAAAAAAATGAGTACTTCTTCCACCACTGTGTAGGAGTAAATTTGGAGCCAGGTCCATATCAGGAATTGGAACTTATTTAAGGTCAAAATATCAAAATAAAAACCTTATAATCATGTAGACGGGGTTAATACGAACATTTCCAAACCAAAATGATGAGGCTCACTGCAGCAGTTTCAAAGAGGGGGCGACAATAGTTCAGTGTGAAGTCATCCTCCTTTCTAAACACAAACGTTTCCTCCAGTGAAATGTTAATTTTATTTGTGTACTTTTTAACATGTTGTCACTGACATCCACCCACAGCTCCCTGTTCACTGTCTTATCTTTAAATATTTACTCATATTAGCATGACTCAACAAAAACCACAAAGAGAAAAGTTTGGACAACAGAACGCACGGCTCCAAGTTGTATAACGCGCTTACACCACGGCTACAAACTGAAATGTGCCACCTGTGAATGTGAAAAGCCTGTTCCTGCTCTGTAAATGTCTCAGATATTTCAGTTATAGTTATTTCTGCGTTTTAAATGAAGCCCCTTTTCCTCAGACGTCGCAGCTCGGAACTCGGGAGAGATTGGAGGAGACTGAGCAAAGATTCCGAAACAAATCCACTGAAACAAATCCACGGAAACGATCTGCGTCCACACACGTCGTTTCTGTGTCTGCAATCCTTCCCTATCCACACAGCTTTGAGCATATTTGTTTACGTTTTACAGAAATGAAACTTAAAACCACATGGCTAATTTGCATAAAC